AATCATGTCAACTTATTGTTGCAAAAACAGCAAATTATACTCTTTGGGATGCGATGTTATTAGGTCTTTTAAATACTTCCTTGGTTACAGTATGATAAGCTTAGAAGTTAAATGTGGTTCGAATGACCATAAAGTAGGATTAGATAAAAATAGTATTAATTTATTCTCCACGTGACATATCTTTTATAGAAATTACAATACATCAATGTTGGTAACGATCAACAGTGCTCTATCTAACACTGTTACCAATTTTAAAACTGTTTTATGCTTCTCCGGGGTAAAATAACACAGTAATGTTGGTCAACATTTATATCAATGACCAACTCGTTTTCACTTCCAAACGTAGTAATTTCCCACAGCTCATCGATTCAATGTGAATTTGTTGGTCAATATAATTGGCAATTACGATTTAACTGCTTTGGGTCGTTGTTTAATAATGAATCTACAATTGCAATGTAGTGAAATCATTTCAACAAAATTGTTTTCACTCTTTGATGTTTTTATAGATTTTGTACACTCTTGTTACCGTGGGTTATGAGAACTAAAGCTATACAAATAAGTTTTTTCAAGGAGCTACAAAAACAGCTATTACCATTGCTTATAGGTTTTAGATTGTTTTTTATTTATTCAATTGCTTCAATGTAAATATACGTACTATTTTTATGTAAAAACACGTTTTTCTCAATTAAATCAGCAATGACGTAGATTTAATTGTACAATCGTGAGCAAAATATCATTACAATATAATATAATGTAACAAAAAAATTAGACATTGTAATTTTCTTATTGTTTGCATGGAAACCAATAGTAAAATAGTTCTAGTAGTCTTAACACCGTAATGTGGAAGTCGTCTGAGTTTTACGTCAATATTTAAACAAAGATGGAAAACCTTCAAAGGGATACTGTATTTTGAATAATTCGGTAAAGTTTCATGAGGATTTGATGGATAGTTGGATTTGATGGATAGTTTAATAATGTTTAAAGGACATTAGGCATACATACACACGTACATCATAATATTATGGTTGAAACATATACAAATGTAGGATTACCGGTAGCTCGTCCTACCTTCTCCATCTATATCATAATATCTTTAAAAAATATTTATTTAAACACTTTTAATGTGTGTTAAAACACTTTTCATATTTGGTGTTTTTAGCGAATTTCCCATATAGGGAATAAGCTATTACCGTAGTACTCTCATGGTAAGACCTGGACTCGAGACCGATTTTTTTTCGTTTTGAGGTTCCTAGATGCCAAAAACAACATCCGTATATATATATATATATATATATATATATATATATATATATATATATATATATATATGTCTGTTAGCACGATAACTCGAGCAAAAATGATCTGATTTTGATGAAATTTGGTATAAACGTGTAAACCTACATTTATTCGAACGTGTTCGCGAACCAGCATGATCGGACTATGGGAACGGGGGTTTTATGGGGTAAAAATAGGGTTTTCCCATTTTTTACCCAAAAAAACCATAAAATTTTGCAATTTCTTTCCGAACCATTTTGTAGAGCTTAAAAAAAACAAATAATTTAGTATATTGAAGCGTTATTATGCGCCTAATAAATGGTTACGGAGAAAGTTTAAAACAAAATGTAAATTTAAAATTGCCATGTTATTCTTATAAAGAACAAGTAAACTGTTGTAGTTTGCTTGTTTATGAACATATTTTGATCAAATGTGGAAAATGTTTTTATTTGTTACTAACTATTAACATTTTACAAAAAAAAAAACAAAAAAAACAAACAGTTTTACCCTCCCTGATGCAGCAAACCTAAGTACTTGTTAAACTAATTCTATTTAAATAGGAAGTAAATGTTATATTTTTAAGTAGACATTTTAGTGTAAATCCAATCAGGCAAATTGAAATTCGCTTAGTCTGCAGGTTTGCTGCGGCGGGGGTATTAGTTTTTAGTCAGTAAATGTAAAAAATATTCCACGCATACGGCTCTTTTCATACACCCAAGCTTATAGAATTTCGAGATTTCGTAAGAATAAATCCTTTTTGAAATTGAGAAACTTAGTTCCTAGAAAGTTTTCCAGCTTTAAGTTTAGCCGCTGTGTTCAGACTCACACTTTCTTTTGTATTAATTACTTTCCTAATGTGTTTCTTTACTGTGAGAAAACTTTTTTAAATTTGTTTTTTAATTATGGTAGGTAGAATATTTTGGTTGTAGCTTAATATATCTTAAAAATTGCTGTAAATCTGTTAAATACATAGTTTTACTGACAACTAACTACCATAGATTTTTTGGATACCTTAATAGCATGAAGATTTATGGAAATTTAAGTAATCAATTTTGGTAAAAACTAACTTATTTATTTTCACACTGAATAATTTTAGTTTTCCTAAATAAAAACAACCCTAATTTTTAATTACTTATTTTTTACTATGTATATCTTATCTAACCTAATCCTTGACTTATTTTCGCTGGTTGAAAAAATTGTTTAGGTATAATTCTATTACAACTAATTTAGCCATTGGTCTTCATAATAATGTATTATAAACAATGAATGTCTTAAACCTGTCTACCAATTAGTTAAGACGAAATAAAAAATAATACGTAAAAGTCAAGTTTCTCCTAACTTCGGAATAGCCACGTGCATAAATACCAGGGAGGGATTTTCGTGTCCGAAGTGGTGCTTGAGGTATATTTATCGCCTATTTACATCAGGGTTGGTAGCCCTGCTTCCCTTATCTCCCTTCACATCTAACTACACCATTTGTAGGGAAACTGTCCAGATAGGTCCATGTGGCATTGTTAAACATTTTATTTCTCGGTTTTATTTTTTATAAATTCTTTAATTTTTTAGTTGTAAAATTAGTGTGTTTTTGAAATGACAGTATCAATACAGTTTTTAAGCAATTGATACATTTGTATGTTTATTTTCTATATGCTACTAAACGTTCCACCAGTTAGGTTAAAAATAAGCTATTTAAAATAATAATTTACCATGATAAAACATAAACTCGAAACAAATTCTTGGGGAAATAATTGACTATAAACCCATAATTTTATAATTTAAAAGGTTTTTGTCCAAAAATATGGTTTTTAACACCTACTATCTGTTATTTGCTCTGATATATACTGTCTTTATTTACAACCCTGCATTGTAAGGTCGACTTTCGGCAAAACTTGCCCTTAAAGTTTTTAACTTGTTGGCACTTCTTTATGCAGTAACCGAATTTGATCATGTATTATGTCTATGTTTAGTTTAGTATCACAAGTTGGGGACTTCATGACGTTTTCTGCTTTATGCTTCATTATTGGTTAATCTGTTCCTCCCGAGACGCCACTTAAGGTCGCCTACAGTCATCCTACTGTTTCCTGTTTTATTCCTAGCTTGATTAATCTTCTTCAGGCCTAGTTTGAAAATGAACCTAGTTTGAAATAGGACTGCTTAATAAACGTGGTCAAATATCAGCACACTAAACAAATGTGAAAGACAAGGAAGGGTCCTAAATGCCATTTGTCATTTGGCTATCAGTGGATGTCATTTAATAAAAAGTGGACGTTAGGTAGTAATAAGACCAGGATATGGACTGTTCCCTTTTAGAATATTAAAAGAATGCCATTTGTGTAAATAGACAGAAAACAAAATCATGCTGTGAAAATTGTGTGTAGAAAAAAGATTGGTTAAGTTGGTAAGTATCTGTTTTTACATAAATTTCTTACATAATTTCACTGAAAAATATAGGATTATCTTTTACACCTAGTGTGTAATGGAGGAGGATGTACAGTGGATAATTCACTAGAACCCTGTAGTAGTAATGCGCAATCTTCTGCATGGTACGGAAATTATTTCTTTTCGGTACAGAGTTCTTCTCTGTCCATAAAATACAGGCTGAACAGTAGATGTATTTTTCTGCAGAAATTCTACTCTCCGTCTATTATAGATATTTTATGATCATGTACATATCAAATATATTTAAAAGTAGGAGAATAATGTAGATAGTTCAAAACAATCTTCTTGTCGTAATTAAAGAACTCATCCAGAGTGTCGAAATAAGTTCTTGTCTATTTCATAAATTAGAAAGGTTGATTGTCTTTACACAGCTTACAATGTTGTAATTGACAAGGTCTAATTTAAAACTAGAGATACATGCTTATTAATCAGATCAGACCCCAAGTGTTTGTACAAGAATGAGGTTACAAACCTCCTTTTCATCAACGTTTCCATGTTGGCATTAAAAAAACATTCAACACTGTCAAAGAAAGCATTGCTGCATCAGCCTCTTTTCCAAGATCCTCTTAAATTTCAGGTAGGATTTTACTGGACCCTACTGTACAATTATCAGTTTTGTCCAAATTAAAGGTTTACAGGAACAAGGATCCTGTAATGAATGAACTTCTACAAGATGTGGAAAAATGACAGATAGTAACTAAGTTCTTGTATGTTTACAGACCTAACATCACCCTGCTGCAGAAGTTCACACGGGAATAGCCAAGAGACAGATGTACGATGACAAGGATCCTGAAGTGAATGAACTTCTACAAGATTTAGGAACATGACAGATTCTCTTCAAGTTCTTGTCTGTTTACAGGCCTAACATCACCTTGCTGCAGAAGTTCCACATGGGAATAGCCAAGAGACAGATGTACGATGACAAGGATCCTGAAGGAATGAACTTCTGCAAGATGTAGGAACATGACAGATTCTAATCAAGTTCTTGTCTGTTTACATAGGCCTAACATCACCCTCCTGCAGAAGTTCCACATGGGAATAGCCAAGAGACAGATGTACGATGACAAGGGTCCTGAAGTGAATGAACTTCTGCAAGATGTAGGAACATGACAGATTCTAATCTAGTTCTTGTCTGTTTACAGGCCTAACATCACCCTGCTGCAGAAATTCCACATGGGAATAGCCAAGCAAGAGAAAGATGTGCGATGACAAGGATCCTGAAGGAAGGAACTTCTGCAATATTTGGGAACATGACAGATTCTAATCAAGTTCTTGTCTGTTTACAGGCCTAACATCACCCTGCTGCAGAAGTTCCACATGGGAATAGCCAAGAGACAGATGTACGATGACAAGGATCCTGTAGTGAATGAACTTCTGCAAGATATGGGAACACGACCGATCGTCCACGTTAGTAAGTTCTCATGTATTTTAAGGATAAGGTTTAATTGAAAACATTGACGCCTATAGGTTGGACTTATTAAAGTTGATTCTCATTATTTTAAAGTTATTTACTGCATCAGAAAGCTACAAATATTTTACAACAAACATGGTTATTCTAAAATATTCTTGTTGTTTTAGGGTTGAACTATATTTTCTTTCTAAATACTCTTCAGATAAGACATGACTCTTGACCTTTTAAAACTATTTCAGCCGTGCTAAAAGGCCAAAAAATACAATTTTCTACACCATGAAAGAATTAAAATTGCACTATTTAAGTTTAAAAGTAATGTATCCAAAAGATAGGGAGAGAACACCACTTTATTTCTAGTTCCTTCAATAAAATTTAACGACTTCAATCTGATTTTCAAGCTGTTCAGTGATCATAGATGATTGCAACTGCAAGTAGATTCAAGAAACTACTTTTCTTATTTGCTCTTAAATTATATTTATTTTTCTTTCCCTTTTAAACAAAGTGCTCTAATCTAAATTCGTTTTGTTAGAAATATTTTTGAGAGAGTATATATAATTTTGACTTTTTACGTTTTTTCCTCAATATACCAGGATTCTAGGCTGTAGTGGCTGTAGTTTGAAATAGTTTTTACACACTATTTCATGGTAGGCCTCAATGGCTGCGTAATTATAGAAAAAAAACATTGGCGATTGACTTGATTTGAACACGGGACTTCGGGATCTGAAGTCCCAAGCTCTAGCTCTGTCTCGCTCCTCTAATTTGTTTTTGAAACTTGGGGAAAATAGTAGTAAACCTTACGTTCATGAGGAAAACATCATGTAACTTAAAAAAATAATAATTTCAGTGTAAAAGTAAATTTTTCCATAAGATAATGGGCTTCTGTGAAACAAATATATGATGGACATGTTTCAATACGAATTTGTTTTCCAGTTTTAATGGATTACAGTCCAATATACCCACTTGTCTTTGTAGATTCTTTACCCCAATGCTACCAACTTGATTAATGATGTTAGAAATTGTTTGGTTGGTACACTGGACTGTTTTGTACTTACACGTCTGTCTATCAAAGTCTCCACTTACAGACTTCCTTTCATGGTAGATTAAAATATTGATCTTATGTCAACGGACAAATTGAATTGTGTTTAACAAAGGTTCCTAGTGTCAAAAATACTAAATTGAGAACTAAAGTGGATATTGAGAGGACGGTGTTAGCATCTCAACTAATATACTTGCCCGCTACGTATGATCAAGTTTCAACAAATGGTTGATTTATTTAAATATGAAGATATTTGTCAAATTGTAGCCTACAGTATACAGAAAAAATTAACTCAAAAATAGGATTCAATAAAAAAATTAACTCGAATATTTTATGTTACAAAACCTATCAAATGATGGATGACAAAGTACTCAACTATTTAGGATGTTTGAAAATAAAAAAAGATTGATTGAATTATTTTGCCCTCTATTAATTTTTGTTTAATTTCAAATGCACTCCAGATTTTTTGCATAGAGTTAGGTTTGAGGTAAAATCTGTCAATTTACCTAAGTTTGGAATTTTTTTTAGTAATGAAAATTTATATTTTAGAACACAACTAGTTATTAAAAGCCTGAAAAGCTATGAATATAGGTACACATAAAGAAGTTTTCTTCTTCTTATTATTATTATTACTATACCTTAGCGTATATCATTTTATTTGTTGGACTTCCCTTTAAGTTTCTACCGTTTTATTTTTATACTGTAGGTTTGGTTACGAATCTAGCCAAACGCCAATAAGCTATTTCATATTTCACAAATTATTATGTGATGTAGAAATTCCTTTTCAAACCCCACAGTATTTTTTTGTAATTATATAAATTGAAATCGACACAACACATGCCATAGTAGTCTCCATAGCGTACACAAATTAACAAAATCATCTTTAAAAACAACAATGTTTTACAAACAAAATCCATTGAATGTTTCTGAACATACTGATCACAGATACTCAGCTAGGTTTCTATTGATTAGTCAACAAATACACATATTTTAGTCGTACACTTGAAAGACTTCTCTCAACTAGATTCCCTCTTTTATCTTTTATGTTACAAACACCTTTAAATATTTAAAACTGGCAAATGAATTATTTGGAAATAATTACAAATGTAAATATGATATCCGTTTTTTTTATGATACAATTAGTTTTTATGATACATATTCAATATTTTATCTCTAACAACAAAAAATATGTATGCACATTTTGGCAGGTCAGCGATTATGTTTTTGTTGTTGAATTTTTTCGCTTTAAAGCAAATACGATTGTATCAAAAATCAAACAGTTGGAATCAGAAAAAAAAGTTGTTAGCCATACATTTATTGTAGTATTATGAGATATGAAATCAACACCAACACATTATGTTTTTGGTCACTCCTATTTTATCACAGAAATAATATTGAAAATAATATACTATAAACAGAATGATTCACCTAAAGTGTTACAATAGGTAACTTGTTAGGCGTTTACTTTACAAAGAACTTTAAATAAACAACTTCCCTGATTTTTTGTAACATTCTACGACATGTTCTTTTTCACTTAAAATGTTGCTTAATTTTTTCAATGGCAACCCCCACTTTTTATGATATTTTTGGATTTTACTTAAAATTTTAAGACATTTTTACTCTTGTCTTTTAGCGAATTTCCCATATAGGGAATAAGCTATTACCGTAGTACTCATGTTAAGACCTGGACGCGGGACCGATTTTTTTTTCGTTTTGAGGTCCCTAGAGGCCAAAAACACCATCCGTTCAAATTCATATATATATATATATATATATATATATATATATTTATATATGTGTCCGTTAGCGCGATAACTCGAGCAAAAATGATCCGATTTTGATGAAATTTGGTACAAACGTGTAAACCTACATTTATTCGAACGAGTTCGCGATCCAGCATAATCGGACCATGGGAACAGGGGTTTATGGGGGGTTTTATGGGGTAAAAATGGGTTTTTCCCATTTTTGACCCTAAAAACAAATAAATTTGCAATTTCTTTCTAAACCGTTTTGTAAAACATAAAAAAATAAATAATTTAGTATATTGAAGAGCTGTTGTATGCCTAACTGTCACGGAGAAAATTCAAAAATAGTGTAATTTAAAATTTCTATGTTATTCTTATGGAGAAAATGAAAATTGTTGTACTTTACTTGTTTATGGATATATATTGATAACATTATGCAAATTTATTTATTTAATCCTATACTATTGACGTATGGTCCAAAAACACTTTTTACCTTCCCCGTAGCAGCAAACCTAAGCACTCGTTAAATCTAATGTTATTTAAAAAGGGAATAAATAACCTTATGTCTTATTTATGGAAATATTTTAGTAGAAATATAATCAGACAAGTTGAAATCCGCTTAGTCTGCAGGTTTGCTGCGGCTGGGGTATTTTATATTCCTAACGGTTTTGGAGATATAGCCATAATAAGCCACGCATAACCAAGGATATTGTATTATTTCTTACAACAGCATATCAGTAAAGCGAAAGAAGAAGACAATAAGTTGATAGACAAATAATAATCAGCTTATCAATTGTTAATTTTGTTTTTTTAATAATTTAAAATTTCATGTTTATCGAACTGTTGGTTATGGTTTTGTGGTTATAATAAATTATTAATGCTCTCCTTTTATTTGAGTCAAAATGAATTTGGATAAAGAAGTTGACATACGATTAATATTTGACTAAGAATATGCATTGACCATGACGGTGGACACTTTGAACATTTATTATGAATGAAAATACATAATTGTATCAGTATGAATTAAGTGTAAATTATGTTTTGTAAATAGAGAAAATCATTATTGTGTCATTGTTATAGCCATGGTAATGCGTGGCTTATTATGGCTGTATATCCGAAACTGTTAGGAGTAGGCTATCAAAAAAATTAGAAGAGTAAAAATGTCTTAAAATTTTATGTAGAATCCAAAAATATCATAAAAAGTGGGGAAAATTTTTGAAAATGGCGGCAAAATTTTTAATGAAAAATAGCATTCCGTAAAATGTTACAAAAAATAAGGGAAGTTGTTTGTTTAAAGTTCTCTGTAAAGCAAACTCCTATTACACCTATTATTATTAGGTAAACAAGTTACCAATTGTAATACTTTACGTGAATCACCCTGTGTAATATTTAAGAAAGTATTGAACCTATTAAAAGTCTAAATTGGTATTTATACACTCACTAAACCCGAACAAAAGGAGATGTACGCCTCTATTTGAGATGAAAAGTCCAATTTGTCAGATATTGTGTTAGCAGCAGGATGAAATATTTTCAATCAATTCGACAAAGAAGTTATTTACGTGTCAGTAAAACCTGTTCGGATGATAAATATTTGAGTTGTGTATTGTTATTTCCTTGAAATTGTTCTGTTTTTGTTTATATATTTTAGTATTCTTTAAAAAAATGTCTATTTTTTTAGTTATTATGTAGTGATAGATTAGCTGTTCAATATGTTTCATTTGCAACAAGTAGATGTAATATAATCTTAAATATTTATGCATAGGGTACACATATTTTTTTACCTTTTCACATGCAATCATAATCCCTCGTAAAATGTCAGAATGCTGTGTGTTCTCAAAACAAAAAAGAAGTTATTGCTTTTCAAATGTTCTGATGAGTGTAGTTACTATCAGATAGAATTTTCCGGGCTCAATTTTAAAATGCTTTACAACTTTAACCCTATAAGTTAATAGGCCATCCCCTTACCTTAAATAACACAATAAACATCTTGCACATTTTCACTATTGGGACGACCAATTTCAATATTTAGTGGTTTAACTTTTCTAGCGATCAATTTTGTAAGACTCAAACTTGAGGATGAAAAGCCTGAAAATTATTTATCTTAAATTAAAACACTAAATTTGAAAGTTTCATAATATTTTATTATAATTAATCTTGATAGCACCAGGATTGTGTTTGATGACAAATAATAATGGCCAAACATACTTCAGACAATCCTTAACAATTAATCATTAAAAATTAATTAATTATTTGTCATATTTTATTACTCAAATATTTCATCAGTATTTCTACAAGTTTTCACCACTATAAAAATACACATTATATATTGTGTTTCAGGTCAAAAAGAAGGCGGAACTCAAATAAAACTAGTGATAGACTACGACAACAGTGAGCAGGCACTCTTCAAGCCAATGAGGTTTGTTTTAATTTTAACTCGTACTAAAACCAGTGTTTTAACTCTGGTCATAAGTCTATAATACACATTTTTTTTTAAATTTCAACCCTAAATTCCTTGTATATAAAAAGACAATATATTGGATAATATTCGAAAATAAAAAGTAATCTTTATTATTGTTTTAAACTGTTGATGAATTGACAAAAGTGAGAACATTAGGCAGGCTGCCAACCTTCCACTTCCAGGACAAAATCCTCTGAGAGAACTATCCCCATGATTGCCACTACGACAAGAAACTTTCTTATCTATGTTTACAGTCTATGAACTCAATGAATTCCCATAGGTAACGAGCTAGTCTTTAGAATTGAACCATAAAGATTTATTGTTCCCATGTTTAGAGGTCTTTTTGAATATTGAATACCTAATTATTTTGACTATTTTTTTTAATTTAATCGAGACTTTAACTAAGGTTCTGATAGAGTGAAATCTCTAAATTATTAATTTAGTTAAAGTAGATCAATTGAAATAAAAAAAAAAAATATGTAGAATAAGCCAACTGTGGAAGTTTGCTTGTTTATGAATATACTTTGATCAAATTTGGCAAGTTTATTAATTTCATACAAAGCTATTAACTTTTCAATGAAAAACACCTTTATTACCTTTCCTGTGGCAGCAAACCTAAGTACTCGTTGAACTTAATGTTATTTAAATAAGGAAATATCAGACATGTTTAAGGAAATATTTAAGTGAAAATATAATTAGGCAAACTGAAACTCGCATAGTGTGTAGGTTTGCTGTGGCGGGGGTATTTAGGCTTTCTTTGTTGGTTTTATTTTATTTTAATTTATATTGTCCTACCTTTACATCCTTAGATGTTAGGTTCTAGCCAGAAACCATTTCATACATTTTCTTCACATTACTAAAGAGTCATGGCATCATTACATACCTAGCCATTTGATTAACCCAGGACCTGAGGGACTGATGACCTGCCTTCCAATCACATGTTTTATTTACAGCGTGGGGTGAAAATAGAGAAGTTTGCAAAATACATACTTTTGGTCGATTTTTCGACCATGGGGCAAGCTCTAGTATTGTATATAAATTAAATATTTTTCAAAAAGGTGCTTTTCTAAATAAAAAAAATATTAACATTTTCCATTTTTTCTTAAAAATCTATTGGTTTTGCAGATTTCCAAGAGAGCAGCAGACTTTACCGAACCACTTTTACTTCACAGACTTTGAGAGACACACTGCGGAAATTGCAGCATTCCACTTGGACAGGTAAAAAAGTATTACATTGCAAAAGTGGATTGCTTTCCCAAAAAACTGTTTTTCCCAAATGGCAAATTTTCACTGTTGTCAGGCCTATGGTCAGCCCTCTAGGTTTGTACTGTACCGACATTTGCTAAAATGCCCACTAATTTAACACTAATCCAATGAATATAGAATTTTAAAACTTAATTCTTTGACCAAACACATTTTTTTCTCTCAGCTCTCAGCTACCTAGATATTTAAACTGCTTTTGATATCATAACATGGACATTCTAGCCATGGGCGGTCGTAAGAGAAATTGTTAAGCAATAAAAGTTTGTAAAGACGAGGACAAAGGGGTCGTAGGACGAAGGCAGTAAAGTAAAGGAGGTATAAAGTGTCGTGGTCAGCCTGAGTGGGTGTGAATTTTTTAGACGCTTCAAGAAAAGCCAGACGTTGATAGCTCGGCTCCATGTCGTAAGTTATTTACTCAGCTCAACCCTTTATTCTCAGGATACTGTGTTTGGAAACTAATGCTCCTTTACAGGAAAATCTTTAAATTAATTTCTTATTTGTTTTATTCAATTAACATTCTTTTGAGTATGTTATGAAAATTATCCATGTGTTGGAATTTGCCATTTGTCTTCTCTTTATTAGGTTTAATAATTGAATATGGATCCGGTACCAACTGCTAGTGAATTTATCCAATTGTGAAATTTGAAGTCTCTTTTGATGTGTGTATCACGTCCAGTTAAAATTGGTTCTATTTAAAATTTAGTTGGGTACAAGTCCATACTCCAAACAAAACAGTAGACCTGCATTGCTGTAAAAACTGTAGGTTAAAAGTTGTTGCAACATTTGCAATTTTCCCATAAAATAATATTTTCAAAAAAACTTCTCAAAGGATTTTGATTAAAATTGAGTAAGTTATAGTCATTTTCCTACTAAACAAAATGGTACAACCCCTAATGCTGTAAAAATTATGGTTGAACAGTTATTGCAACTTTTGTGATTTTCCCTATAATATTATCATAGGTTCTCTCCCACTGCTTACCCCCTGATAATAGTTGTTGACTAGCTAATTTTGGAGAAAGTATGTCTCACTCTGCTGATACCATTTATTTTTTATTTTAGGATAAATTATCGGTACCTTTGGTTAAATCACTGGAAAACTAGCAATAATTCATAAACAGATCGTTTCACTTGGTTAAATAGTTTCAGAGCTAGTGGAATAACAAGAAACAAAGTGAAAACATGAAACCACACTCTACTTTAACTGAACAGAAACATGCCTTGCAAGGGCTATACTGCCTTTATGTGATCCATAAACAAAGAGTTAGAGTATTTTCAATCCATGGTTGGAATTTTGAAAACAGGAATGTTAAATATATAATATACATAAAACATGCAGTCTTTTTATTTCTAAGTATTATAGACTAAGTTCTAATTTTATATTCATGTCCTGAAATATATTTGTAGCTCAGTACAATAAATTTGATATCACAATTGGCAACCACTCCGTATAAAGTAGATAGAACAATATTAGGGTTGAGAAGTGTTTTCGATTAGAGTGGGATTAAAAAGGACAGTTGGCAAAACTGAATTAGGTGAGGGATAATTTGTCTTAATGGAAGAAACGCTGACCTCCCTGGGTAACCAATCAAGCAGGCTGTCCAACCTTGATTAACTGAGTGACTCTTGCCAACCCGATAGAATTATAAATCCCTTGAGTTTTACTTTTCACCTTTGGTGGGGAAAATTCAATGTTGAAGATCAGGTATTTCCACAAAATAGTAAATGCTTTAGATTGAAGATGTTTTTGTTTATAAGATTATTTCTACCTTTGGTCAAGATGGTGGGTAGATTTGACAAAAACTGTTTTAAATACTTACAGTTGGGGTCTCATTGTTGGAATGGTTATAAATTAATAATAAAACCATCTATCCTGTCACAACTTTCCAAAGTTTTGTAAAATTTTCCATTCACAAATGGGGTACTATGTTTAAATTTTATCAACCACTATTTTCAGATGATCGAGTGTGAAAATATTTGCAGTAACAACTCTCAACCTAAGTCAGACAGACAGACATATCGAAGTTATGAAAACAAAAAGCAGTACAGTAGACTCCCTCTTATCCGGACTCCTCGGGACCGAGGCCAGTCCGGATAACGGTTTTTCCGGTTAAGCCGACGTCCCCAAAAACTCATTAAAATGGACCGTTTACGGTGATATTCGACTTAAATTAAGGAGAGCATTGTATTTAGACATGTGATAACTGGTTTCAAATCTTTCCTACGAGAATAGTCGTTACAGTACCGCACACTTCCTGCCGATCTAGTCCGGTTAAACCAATGTGCCGATAATAATTGTTCGGTTAAAGAGATGTCATTTCCGTCGACTGTAGTCCGGTTAAACCGATGTCCGGTTAACAGGTGTCCGGATGAGAGGGAGTCTACTGTATTTTGATTTGAACTTCCTATAGTACTATTGAGTCCTATAGTACTAAAGATTTTAGCACTACAGTACTGATTTGTCTAGAACACCATTGAGTTATTATTTATTTATTCACTCAAGACCAAAGCAACAAACGTTTGTTTTAGCACTAAACTGCATGAGCATTATAAAAGGCTTGTCTGCAGTATTTCTTGATTTTTCTTATGTATTTTAATTTCAGGTAGTCATATTGTTAGTTTTATATCTTAAAACAGTAACAAAGCTTGAACCAACTGCATTCTTATGCAATTATTTGTCCTATAAAACTATTAATAAATATTAATGTTTACTTTCTGGCATTCCTATAAATTAGTTGTGAAATTTGCTACGTTTTTGTCAACTCAGTGATATCTTCAGGCTTTTTTTTTCTTCAGTGATTCTTCAGCTTCTTCATAAGTATTAAAATAAAACGGCGTTCACACACAATTTACACACAAAAATACAATTAACAAATAACTGGTATTGTCGTCGCGGTGGCCACATCTCACAAAGCAGGAGAATTAATCATGTTAATTCTGGCAAAAACTCCTACGATATTGGATATTCCGTTTTTTTTTCTTTGGGTGAATTGTGTGTAATGACTGATTTATTTTAATATTTATAACAAAAGCCATGGTGGATGCCTGATATGAAAAAACATGTTGCAAATTAGTAGCGAATAAGAACGCAAGAAGGTAAACATTAATATTTGACATTCCAGTAGTAGGAAATTAATTCTAGAACACTATTGGGATTTCTCCTATAAATTGATCTAGTGCATTAAAATCGCAATAGTGACTTGAAATTTATCCTAGACCAACATTATTAAGATGCCTCCAAAAACAATATTGAGAGTGTTCTTTGAACACAGTGGAGATTCTTTCTTGATCATCATTTTAACAGCTTTGTTACTGACTAGATTCAAGATTCAGCTGTTTTTTTCATTTAAAGCTACGCGCACACTACGGCAGCATGGCAATTTTTAAAATAAATAACAATGAATGTAATATGAGTGCGCCCACTATGGCGAGACGACCAACAACAGATGATCGGCAGCTTAGGCCATTTGTTAAAAAATCCGAGAGACAGAACTCTAGGACATTTCCGAGCTGACGTACCAGCCGTACTGACCAGGCGGGCGGCACAGGACTTCCGCCATTCTCCACTGGTCTCATGGTCTCCGTCAAAGTCGGGCTCACAGTTTTAGCTCGCAGACTATCCTAAATCGTGGATGTACGGTTGTCACCCGTCCGTCCGTGCCGTGCCGCCCTAGTGCGCGCTTAGCTTTAGAGCACTATTGAAACTCATTAGGACATTTAAGAGATTTGTCCTAAACCACTAATGACACTGATCTATGTTTGCAGACTACTAGGGTTCCGCAGAGCAATGCCAGTGACAGGGCGAACTCTCAACATGACCACGGAGATTTACGATATCGCCGATGGAGAACTGCTGAAAACCTTCTTCATTTCTCCGTCAAACAACATGTGCTTCCATGGCAGGTTTGTGGATCAAATCATTTTTTTGTCGTGCCACAGAGATGTACAGAGAAAACGTTCAATGGTACATTTAAGTGTGTCTAGTGCACATTTTAGTGGTGTTCTAGTCGCTGGTGTCCAAGCTCAATTTTAACACCACCCCCTCGCCCTCATGAACTACATTGCTCACGGTGGAGGAAGACCCTGTGCGGTAGGAATTTCCACACAGTGCTCACTGTTCTGGCTCTTCCTTGTTTGTCTCAAGTATATTTCCAGGTCGTTCCGAAAGCGTGTTTCCTCAGTACCTTATTTTTTGTATTATTTGTGTACATTCTTGTCTAGCTCATTCTTTATTTCCCCTATAGTATTGGACTAAGTATAGCAATAAGATTTTTTTACGAGTCTGTTTTTTAAGTAAGGGCTGGTTTTACGGATAAATCCGTAGTTTGCTTGTAAGCCGCAACGAGGCTCCTCACCACTTACTGACATAATTTGTGAACAGAATGTCACAAATTGCAGCACTGTAGCTGTCATGTACGCTTCGCTGTGTGTTTGAAAAAATGTTTAACCACAAATCTCCATTTCCAATGTAAGGTCAGTGATACGATTTTTGATTACATGAAATATATCCGAAGCTGAAATTTATTGCCAGATGACTGGACTTTATGACTGATGCATTGATACCATAGAAAGTGCAGAAATAGGCAGGGAGTTTAAAAAAGGCCGTGAAAATGTTAATTTCAGAAGGAATTATGTTTTCGGTGGGTAACCAGACTTCTAACAGAAGACCACAAATGAAATGTGATTTCACAGCCATTTTTACACTTTATAACCCACTTCTGTATTTACTCTCACTCATTGCATTAGGTTAATAGTTTTCATTCATCTGGCAATGAAATGAAATGAAATATGTTTATTTATCCCAATGTTATTACATAAAGATAAAGATAAATAAAAACAGAGAATTTCAGCATCGGATATGTTTATTGTAATAAAAAAACTAACCTTACCTCGGACGCAACGGGAGATTTGATGGTTTAAAATTGTTTTTAAACACACAGTGAAGCATACATGACAGCTACAAAAGAGCTGCGATTTGTGTCATTCTGTTCAAAAATTATTTATTTAGGACCTCAGTAAGAGGTGAGGAGCCTTGTTGGCGAACTACGTATTTATACGCAAAATCAATCCTTACTTAAAAACCCCCATACTCTGAACTGGTGTAATAAGGGTAAACTATTCTTAATTGGAGTTCCCTTTCAAAATATGGTAAAAAAGATATTTTAAAAACTTTACTATGGAAAATTGTTTTCAGATGTTCGTACTACTGTGACACAAGCCACGCGGTGTGTGGCAACCCTGATATGTTGGAGGGGAGTTTTGCAGCTTTTCTCCCTCCAAAAGAGACGGCCCCTCGCAAGATCTGGAGGCATCCTTGGAGAAGGAGCTACCACAAGCGGCGGAAAGCCCAGTGGGAACAAGGTGGAACTTTAAAGACCTAAAATATTAACAACTTTCAATTAAATGCCCTTTTATTAATTATTTCCTACTTCTCAACTTTTCTCATCTGTTGCAAAAGCTCTGTGAGTTAGTGGCTCAGTCAAGAGCACCAGGTACCTTCCTTGGGTTCGCCTCTCTTTACCAGATCTAGAACTTATCAGTACAGTTCAATATTGTACTGTACAGATATTTTGCTTTGCTGTTCATATGCTTCATATGTTCCACCAACTTGCTTAAGTCAAGCATATACTTAGTAAACCCAATTTACTGTTTTTTTTTGGAGTAGAGTACATCCTTCAATTAAAACCTTGTTTGTACATTTTCTTACTATTAGAGGCGTTTACAGATGGCTTACCTACTTTTAATTGCCGTTACAGAGTCAGACTACTGCAACCTGGTGAAGGAGATCGCACCATACGACCGTGGGCCGAGGCTCTACGACATCATGGACATGGCGGTCCTTGACTTCCTGATGGGCAACATGGACCGTCATCATTACGAGACATTCCGAGCGTTTGACAACGACACCTTTCCCCTCCACCTGGACCACGGTCGAGGTTTCGGTCGACCTTTCCACGACGAACTGAGCATTCTTGCCCCACTCCTGCAGTGTTGTATGATACGAGATACGACGCTGGCGACGTTACTGAAGTGAGTGGGATTTGGTGTTTGTGTGACAAATGTTGTAAAGGTTGGATGACATACAGTAACAATGGTTCTGTCTCCCGTATATTGATGAGTAAAGTTGAGCATTGATTATCCTGACTAATTGATGCCTTTAAAAAGCTCCAAATAGCTTTGATTGGGCTTGCTCAAAAAGACCACAGAGAGGGTTGGAATTTTCTCAAGATAAAACAACAAAAATTGGATTATCCACCAACTTGTCTGAATACTTTAAATACCATACTTGTGGCTTAAGGTTACTGACAAAAGATATCGGACCAAAGTGGGTATGCTTTGTAATGCCAAGGGAGATAAAATGAGCTCCACAGAGGTAAAACCTTAACTTTGAATATAATAACAACGTGCACAAGAACATCAAAACCACATTTGAAGGATGTTGCAAATATTAAATGAAAATGCGGGTAAACAGTATTTAGATAGCTTATACACTAGTGTTAAATTTGGGGGATTCAAAACATAAACAATATTCAGAATATTGGACACGTTTACTTTCAACCTAAACCTCTACTACCGTTGTTGATACTAAGCACTGAAAATTAATTACTGAGTTATAAAACAAACATTTGCAAAACAGTTAAGTCTAAAACATTTTACAATTAAGTAAAAAATAGTAGTAAAAGAGATTTAAAAAGGATCAAAATATTATATCTTAACTGTTAATGGTGTTAATTAATTTAAACATATTTATCGTCTGTCAAATTTCCCAATAAGTTTACAGAAAGATTGTTACAAATCATGTTCATAAACAATTAGTAGTCTTTGAAACTTCTATTTTTATTTTACTATTTTATAAGTCAACCTAAGTCTAATGTCACAAATATGTTGAATATGTGGTTAGACAACTAGATTAACTGAAAATCTGCCAATGTATTGTCTTCCGCCTTCCGCCATATTAAGTGGAGTTAGAAAGCACACGGACTCTAGCAGAGTAAGAGTCCACTATATGGGGCTGAAATATTAACTGACCACACATTGAGGCAAGACTCATTTGCTTGTCTGCATAATTTACAATACCTCTCAGTCTCACTGGTCAGTGTTACTAATGCAAACGCCTCCTAATTCACTCATTGCATATTTTACCTCAGGTTTTGCGTAAAAATTTAATGAATTACAATTTTCTTTGTTAGTTGTCTATTTTTTAGGGAACGGTGCGAACCCTATGTCTTTGTGAGAGAACAATCAAAACCCTGATGAATTGAATGATGTTGCTATGTATTGTCAAGCTGTCAAGTATCAATACTGTCATTGATTAGTGATAGATAGCTACTACTTGATCCAGAACACATGTTTCTTCGGATTGATCCAGAAACCTTCAGGTACAGAAGGAGACCTAAATACACTGGGCTACCCATTCGGTTAAACATAGGTTAAATAAACCCTGAAAAGAAGCCTTTTACAGATATCATTCAACACCACAAGAGTGTTAAAATGCAAAAATCTGTTTTGCAAAGAGTAGGGTCACAAGCCACAGTAAAGTAATCTTTCCGACATGTCCAACATTTTTAATTGATCAATACACACAATATTTATATTAAGTTTCTACACGATTGGAAAAAACAGTGATAAAAAAAAAGATTGTTTTAACAAATTGTAGTTCATTAAGGCTAATAGCTCCTCTCAATCTAGAAATATTAGAAAATCAAAATATAGCACTGAATGTAACCACATTAATGCTCGCAGGTACCACAACGGGCCGGTTACGCTGAGTGAGGCAATGCGAACAGCAATGCTGCGAGACCCAGTGAACCCAGTGTTGTGGGAGCCTCATCTTACAGCACTAGACCGCCGGGTCGTCATCATCCTCAAGGCTGTGCGAGACTGTGTAGAATCTGCCAGAGAGATGGCCAACGGAGCAGACGAAGAAAGCGCACCTGCGGAATCCTAGCATCGCAAAACTCGGATAAACACTTCTGCATCATGAGCAGCCCCAGTAGAATGGAAATTGTGAATTTTCATTCAAAAAGTCCACTGGGAAAACGTTTAGAGTTTCCAACATGGAATTTCAGCAGTTACGGCGTAACAATAATGATTAGCTTTTTACTTCCTATCAGTGGACCTCAAGATTGACTGGGTGTTTGTAAGTTGGACTAAAACTGCGGTCGTTAACATGTGATAAAATGGGTTATGATTTATGTGACTAAGTTTTACGTCAGAGGTTTGCTTTGTAATTTATTTTATTATAAGTCACGGAACCAAGGTCAAAGGTAAAATATTTGGCAGCTTCATTGCTGAGTTTGACAAGCTTTAGCTGGACTAGCAACGTTTTTCTAAATAAGAGTCTTTCTTTAACTAAAATGTGTTGGTTCTAGCACCATTGGATAAATTCCCTGCAAGAGTTGGTTTTTTCTACCATAATACCTTTCAGTTTGTAAATATTCAATGACTGAAATGTTACGGTTGAATACAAAATATTTTCAGAGCCTGAATGATATTACAATCGTGTCTCAGAATAAGTGACTTTATTATAGTAATGTAATATACTATTGCATCAATAGTCATTATTCCAAATTACATAGTAAAATAAAGATATTTTTTACGGTTATACGTGACAACTTGGTTGTTAGCCAAGATCGGATTACACAACTAACATTCCATTTGCTGAATCTAGATTTAAATGTCTTTCCTTGTAAAGCCCTTCAATTGTCAGAAAAAAAATATTTTTTTTTTTTAAATAGGAAAACAATTTGCTATCTGTCATCAAAACAAATGAAAATACACTTACTCAACAAATAATTAAAGTTAAAGCCAAATCATAGTAGAACTCCAACTGTATGCATCAATTGGGACCGTCACCCAATTGGATGGTAAAGAAAAAAATTTTGATAGTTTTTATTTTTACTGAAATTTGGGATATTTTACAGAAAGTAGGCTGGGTCAAACTGAGCTTTACAATTGTGTTCGTAGATCACATCTACAAAGATTCATCCAACAAAAATTCTCGTTTCGCTCCGATTGCGAAGGGTGACTGGTTTTCCCTAACAACAGGGATGTATGTATCCAAGACCGAGGAATATATTGAAGATTTTGCTCAAATAGTTTCCATGACCGCAGGAGACTATGATGATGTCTACACGATTCTGGGGTATATTTTTAATTTAGTCACAATTAGAACACGATGATGACATTTTGCGTGACTGCAGGGGACGATGATTATGTCTACACGACTACAAGTGTTTTGATTTTGCCGCGATCACGGCTTCTACCTCCTTTAACAACGATTTTCATAACTAACTGTGGTTTTAATTTTTTTTTAATTCTTTCTGTAAGCGATTTGAATGATCAGCGATTTGGATAGTTGGTGTTTGTGTTATTGGAGTTCTACTATGCAGCCAAAATGAGCTTTAGAATCTATCTCAATACAATACTTTTAAACCAATCCATCCCCTTCGTATCAAAAAACTATAATCCTCTCGCCAATTTTTTTTTTTTCTTATTTATTATAATTAAAAGGAAGGCTGGTTTTTCATACAGTTATTTTGGAAGAACTCGCTGATTGTTAAGTGTAAGTATCCTTTTCCTAGCACAAAAATACTTTAATTTTTCCATTTTCAAAGTTGCCTTATATATACTGTGGAGTTTTCAAGTAAAATGTTTGTACTTTAACTGTAATAACATTTATGAAACTTTTACCTATGGATAAAATTTATTTTCAAACTATTTCAAGTTCATAATTTATATTCTGTTAAATTTCTTACTTGCTTATACATACTACTATCAGTTTGATTTTTTTATTTATTTTACAACTATATTATTCACAATCAATTCAGCACAATCAAATATTTTTTGTTTACTGGTTTTAGGATACGACTACCACATATCATTAATGCTAAGACTGTATATTCTAAGTATGTTAGTAGTAGAATATTTATTAAGCTGTTAACGGGGTTGTATATTACTGAAAGTTGTTACTTGTTAAATTTAGTGATGTGCGTATCGATACAGATATCGATACAAGGACCGCAAAATATCGATATTTTGTATCGATACGTGGGAGTGTATCGTTATGCCCGTATCGATACACCTATAGCCAATATCGTATCGAATATCGTATTGCTTATTTATTAATATAAATCTTATTTTTATGGTAAGAAATTTGTCTTCCCATCTTCCTCCCCTCAAAAGAAGTATTGGAAATTTGATATTTTACCCTAATCTTCAAAAACACTGATAAAACATGTATTTTCAGCTAAGTATTGCAAATAACCTCAAAACTAGGGCCACCATTAATGGAAGTGGGGACCCTCATTGTCCATCTTTATACTATTTAATGTGTAAGTGGCATACCCACCATCATTATTAGTACTTTTTGGTCCAATTAATTATCCCTGTGTAAAAACTAGGAAAACAATAACAAAATGTTTTCCAATTTGAGGGTTTACCGGAATTTGGAGGCTATGTATGTATGTTTGATACTGTACAAATAAAAAGACACAGGAAGGTCTTATAAAATAATAAGTTATTAATAACCTATTACCTGTATAACCCTCTTTACAAGGTTGTAAGTAACATAGTATTTGTCTATGCAGCTTGTATATTTGAGATATTTAATTTTTTTATATAAATTATAAATAAACAATACAATACGATATTTTATCCGATACAGATAAAAATCGATACATGAGGATACGATACGATACACGTATCGATACACCACGTTCCGATACATATCAATACGCAGTATCGATACATTGACCCGTATCGCCCATCACTAGTTAAATTTATACCAATAAGGATTATTGTGTGATGTGTTTTGTACTAATTATGGCAACTATTTTCAGACTAAGCTATGGTGTATTTTACGTAGTGAATATTTTAAAGATGTAGACAAATTGTAAAACCACGCTGTCTTAAAACTAAACAATGTTGAACTATTTTTGTTGACAGTTTTGATCAGCTATATTATTTTGTGCAACCTCTTGGTGTGCTTTTGAAGGTACAGTAGATCCTCTTTAATCCGAACTAATTGGGACCGGGGGTAGTTTGGACTTTTGAATACTTCAGATTACAGAACATATTGTTGTCTTTACATAACAATAGCTAAAACAAGGCTAAAATGAATCGTAATTGTTACGAGAAAAGTTAAAAAAATGCTTTATAAAGTAAAATACAGTGTAAGTTTAATACAGTAGTAAACATAGTGAATAAACAGTACTGTACATTAAATACAGTATACAATATAGAACTACTGTACTGTGCATAAAGTACAATAATGAGGTGTTCGGATTAGTGGACGTTCGGACTACGGGGGTTCGGATTAAAGAGGTTCTACTGTATAATGTTGGTTAGTAATATGAAAAGTGTAATAAATTTAAAGTTTTTTTTATTTTTATTGTTAGTATTCAAAATGCACATTTTAAGACAGTCGGATAGTCATTTTATAGTCAATCACAATCGTTTCGTCCTGATTTTAACTGTAATGACCAGTTTTTTTTTTGTTTTTTTAAGATACTATATTATTAACAAAACTTGGGTGTTTTTTGCAACTTAATCCAATTATTAACCTTAAACCTTTAAATTGTTCCTTACATTTTATATCCTGTTGTAAGGCAGTCTATAGAATGATTTTCAAGTTCAAAAGTTTTAACACAAAGGTTTCATCAAGTAAATTTCAGCTATGTTCACGTTTTAAGCTTATAACAAAAACATTACGTTGTTTACAAACTAATCTATTATTTAAATAACATTGAAATGTAAAATTGTATTTAGAATTAAGTTTAGCTACATCTTTAGTATGAAAATGCTTAACAGAATCCAGTTTTAAATAGTTAAAAGAAGCACCATTGGTTACCAACCCTAATAGACCTGACTGAGCATACATTTTTTCAAACTTTTTTTATAAAAAGTGAAAGTGAAATATTTTTGTTTCAACTCAGTCACGTCTGTGGGTAGATCTCCCAGCCGTGCCATTGTTACCTTATATTGTAAATAACTCGATGTAAATATTGTAACTCTAGTCATAATGGCCAATTTGTACAGAATCGAATATAAAATTTAAATAAAGGTTACTTTTTCAATAAGTTTGTATAGCCTATTCATTCCCAGGTATTTTAAATGGCCTTATTTTTTACAGCTAGTGCCAAAATCACATTACCAACAACATAAAACCCATGGAAAAAAAAGCATTCTAGTGTTCAAAGACAGCTGGGTCTAGTTATGAACCACATTATCACTTAACTATTGCATTTTCTCAGGATTGAACCAGTGACCATATAAAAATAAGGCAAGAACCATAACCACTTGTCTACCTAGCAGCCCAAATGCATATGTTACACAGGGTGCAGCAACATAATTTAATTTTTCAAAGAATGAATGAAACACTTTGTATGAATGAAAAAAATGTTTTATTTGTTGTTTATTAGGTTCAGTTATACATTTAAATCATTTGAATAGTATTGTAATTTTTAGAACACAGTACAACTCCGATTCTGGTTTTGATTTAACATAGTATGTTATAGTCCTTACATTTTTGATCGTTTTTTTAAATTTTTTAGAAATTTTTCTTTTTAATGGGGATTTTCCCATAAAACCCCATAAAATAACGGAAAAATAGGATTTTCCCAAAAATGGCCCGAACGATTTTGATAAAAATTTAGTATGTTATTATAGTCCTTTATATTCTGAACAAAATGGTACAAATCCCATTTCTGTAAAAATTACGGTTCAAAAGTTATTGTAAGTTATGTCATTTTCCAATAAAACCCCCATAAAATAACAGAAAAATCGGATTTTTCCAAAAATGGCCCGAACGAATTTGATAATAATTTAGCATGTTATAGTCCTTTAAATTCTGAACAAAATTGTACAAATCCCATTTCCGTATATTTACTCTCACCGCTTACACATGATAAAGATTGTTGACAAACTTATGGGAGAAAGTATGTGTCAGAATGCTGATACCGTTTATTTATAAAATATAATCAAAACCTACAAATACAGAGTAGTTAATTTGGGATTCATCCCAGGTTTACAATTAACTTTAAAAATACCCAAAAGAATTGTGTGATTATCCACAGAGAAGTGAGAAACAGGAGAGGGGATACATTCAATGGTGTCTAGCACCAGTCGCTGGTGTCGAGAGCATTTTCTAATTTTCTAATCCCTGTTCGGGCTCTCCCTGGCTCGTCACAACAGTTAGTTGTTCCATAAGTGTGTATCCTCTGTATCTCACTTCTCTGTGAATCTTAAATCTAAGATGGCATAACAAGGGAAATTTCAGAGCACTTATATTTAAATGATAGCCTACAGAACTAAACAGCTCCACAAAAAACACTAATTGCACAACTTTTTACCCTCATACTAAAATGAAAACAGCAGTTTTTAATACATGTGTTGCGAGTCTAAAGTAACTGTTTTACTCCCCAGGGAGTAAGTCCTTTTCAGTCCATATGGAGTAACTGTCATCTGTTGTAAACTTTGATTGTATTAGCCCAGGCAAATTAGACATATGCTCCCCAAAAAATCGTCTAAAGCTGGAAAGTGTTTTAATACCTTTTGGGGGTCCCAAATAAGACTCCTGTGAGTTTGCACAGATTCTGACGTCTGCTTAAGTTTTGGGAGTCGAAAAACTATGAAAATTTTGCACTTTTTTCAGTTTTTCGCTTATAACTCCTAAATAATGAATCCTAAGGAAAATGTTGTTCAAAGATGTCTTTTAGTGGATTAAATTCCGCGTCGATTGATGTTAAATACGTCAAAATCGGCCGAGCCTTTTAGCCGCTGTAGCCTTTCAAAGTTGGGATATTTTCATCAACATGGCCAAAAGGTTAATTATTTGACCAGTTATCGACTTACAACTCCTAAACGACGCATGCTATACAAAAATGCGCCTGTAGTTAGTTTCGAAAACACAAAATTTGGCGTAGAATTATGATTATGAATGACTAGATAGTGGTTTATTTCATGGTTGTCATCCAGAATCCAAGAATGTGTGAAGGGAAGGGTAGCAAGAGCTCCTATGCAATTTTAAATCTAATGTTGTTATCTGGGGTTACAAAAATTCTAGGATTCGTCCTAAGCTCCCATTAATACGATCCCATCTCTGGACACTCCCAAATGATGTTAAGCGATTCTAATATATAATAAGATATTACAACGAGAAAGATTTTATTTATATCTTATTTAAATTTAGCAAAAATGTTATTTTTTAACTTAATAAACGAAAGATGATAATGGGACGGATGTACATAGTTTTACTATGTATTTAGCCTATTAAAAAAAAAAAACTATTGTAATTTTTCGTAGATTTTACCATATAACTTTTCTACTTCTCATCATTGGAATCTTAAGAATAAAGATTCATTCTTTGCTCTTATTGGTCTTGCCACAAATGGTGACATTCGGTACCATCTTTTTCGTCAGATATTGAATTGAGATAATCGTGCCCCTTTCAAGTCTTTCAGACAGTAGTGCATTATATCCCTGCATTTCATATGGAGCGAGATAATGTAAACCTTTTTTAACATGTACACGCTGGTCGAGATAGGTAGACGGAGTTGATAAGTTCTTGTCGAAACGGTGGATTAGCCGTAGTGATGGGAGTAAACCCATTGGCGTAAATTTTCCATACCTATCTCTCTGAATTAAGTACAATTTTAAATGAGCTCTAAAGGATTGGTGGATGAGCAGCCCCTTTTGTTAGAATCAAAGTCAAAATTAGTTGAAAGTGTCTTCTAGAAGAGACTCACTTGATTTGGATATTTTCTGCTCCCAAGCATGTATAGGGCCAACCTGCTTCTGCAACTTCGCCAAGCGTTGTAACCCGCCGGAACACAGTGAGATCCACATTGATTGGAGTAAACAGCATGAGTAGTTTTAGGCTACATGAATGTTTGATGTTAGATTTTCGACTCTTCTACATCACGCTTTCTTCATCAAACTGCGCTAGTGGGTACGGACCTATTTTTAATCCAAAGTATGATTCAAATTGAGGCTTGGATTTAATTTGGAATATCACGTGTTGACTGACGGGGCAGATTCTTCTTTAATCTTTGATGTTGCCATCACAGCTCGCGATTAATGTCACCACTTCCTTTTATTCTGCACAGTTTCGTGTTCTGATTTTCGTGCAAGCTGTGCCTTTCCTTTATACATATCTCGCGTTGATGCTATCATATGGGATAACTGCTGAGCTGATTGACATGAGCAAACTATTTTCAGTAAATGGGTCGTGACACTGGAACCATTTGATGAATTTATTTTTGATCCCACCGTATCCGTGGAGTTTATATTGTCAACTTGCTGATAATATGTTGAAGAGGTGATCCCACAATATCCCTTAATTTGATGGGTAGCATTCACTGCGATGGGCCTGCCAGCGAACCATCGGTCTAGATCCACATCATTGATTCCCCTATCTCGGAAAAGCCTCCACAGTAAGATGTTGCTCTCATGAATACTTACTTGTTCATAGGCCATACTGCAGGATCCATGACGTCACACTAGTGGATAGAATCACTGCCATATCCCCTATGTTTTTGGTAATTAGGCTGGTTGTTTGCCAGATTTCAATGGTAAGATTTTAAACTTGACAAGCATCTGATCTAGTGTTAACAATCAATAGCGGTTAAATGGTGAAGCCGATCTTAATGAATTGGAAAACATTCTACGCAGACGTTTATGCTCTCAAACTAACTACAGGAACATTTTTTCTATAGCATGCGTTAGAAGATGTAAGCCAAAAACAGAAAGATGAATACAGGGATAGATCGTATATAATGGGTGGTTGGGATGGTGGCTGTGGATGAATCCTAGAATTTTCGGAACCTCAGACAACAATATTGGACTAAAAATTACATAGGGGGTCTTACTCTCATCACACCTTATTAGATAAACCTCTGGATGACCATCATGGAATAAACCACTATCTAATAATTCATAATCCATTTAAGGACAGGATTTATGTTGTTACCAATTTTATTAAAATTTACCAACTTTAACTTTAATACTTTTTTCAATGAAATGGCGACCATACAAAGTAGGTAACAATCAATTGCGGTTATTGATTAGTAAAAAAAACATTATACGTAGAATTGTGTGTTTTCCAAACTAACTACAGGCGCATTTTTGTATAGCATGCGTTGTTTAGGTGTTTTAAGCCAAAAACTGGCCAAATAATCAACCTTTTGGCCATGTTAATGAAAATATCCCAACTTTGAAAAGATACAGCGGCTAAACGGCTCGGCCGATTTTGACGTATTTAACACCAATCGACGCGGAATTTAATGCACTAAAAGACATCTTTGAACAACAGTTTCCTTAGGATTCGTTATTTAGGAGTTATAAGAGAAAAACTGAAAAACGTCCAACATTTTCATAGTTTTTCGACTCCCAAAACTCAAGCAGACGTCAGAATCCGTCGCAAACTCACAGGAGTCTTATTTGGAACCCCCAAAAGGTATTAAAACACTTTCCAGCTTTAGACGATTTTTTGGGGAGCACACCCTGTATTTGATCTAATTTGCCTGGACTATATGCATTTATCAAAATTATGTATCGATTGATTTAATTGGTTGTACCTTATTGTTGTCTTGTCAATAGTTTGACTTATCGATATTGTACACGAAAAAAATTGTAATAAACAAAATTATTGATTCACATACTAAACAGTTGTTTGTTTACATTAGCAATTGAAAACAATTTGGAAGTTGTTTTGAGAAGTTACCCTTATATAAAAAGTATTTTCATTTTTCTAGCTTAAGTTAGTTGAATAATGTTGCAATATGACAAAAAAAATTTTTTTGAGACGGGCAAAAAATGACTTTTCACCCTCATTTTTAGTTTTTTTTAGCTCATTTTTACATAGTGAAACTTGAGCTTGGGTCAAAAATAGTAACTTTACACCTAGTGATGACATAATACTACTATCACAAACTCCATTATTAATGGCGGTAGTTTAAACACATCGAGGAAAACATCTTGTTCTTTAAAAACTACAGTAAATGTTCTTACATTACACAAAGAATAATCTAATCTCTAATCTCTAAGCTCTTTGATAGCAAGGGTGTCTAACTTACCGGGCATTAAGAACCAAAACTAAAATAATAGGTATTCTCAAATACAAGTTTAAGTTAACTGTGTTGATAATGGTTCGGTCTGCAGTAGTATACACTAACTGCAGTTTCTTGCTCTAAAAGGCTAATCATGAATCAGGTTAGAGCTATAAAATAATTCCTCACAAATGAGTTTGTTCTAAGTTTTCAATAAATCAATAGCTTGGCAAACAGTTTTCAATGATAACATTTTTGGCCACTTATAAATATAAAAAACTTAGCTAAAAAGAACATAAGAAAAACCAAACATATTTCAACTATCATCGTTTTTGGTTTCCGTAAAAATATAAGTAAAACAGACTAGAGTTTACAACAAAATATATACATAAAAGTAGAAATACTATGCAGAATATTCCTGTAAACTTATATCATTGCTTATTGAATTTAATGTTAATTATTAAGGTTGTTTATAAATTAAGGCAATCATCGAACTCCCGTCGCAGCCGAATTAGCTAGTAAAATTCAAGATATACGTCGTGTTCATTATATTGTTTGCTACCGTTCTAGCTCATTCCCAATACTGCGGAACGATTGGTCTGTTCATTGTATTGAAAAACTTTGAGAAAGAAAATTGACAACTACCAAGTATAAACCATGTTCTGTAAGTAGATTTTAGGTGTCTCGGTATTCAACCAATGTTGAAGTTTATTGCCAGTTGACGAACATGAATAGATTAACATGTTTAGAAGTACAACATGTGCGCAATTGGTGGAGAGAGTTTGAGGATGGTTTTATACATTTGCCCGATGTTCACCATTAGTGAGCTAACTGCTGTTGTGCATAAGTCTCATGTACAAAGATAGGGCGAATTTTGCATAAAGATTGTGATGTGACTGAACAAGAGATATTATCGAACGAATACCAATACCCTTATTAGATGTCTCTAAAAAGATTATAAATTACTACGATCAGCCTTGGAAGTCTTAACACGCTGATCTGCGAGCAAAGTTTTCCAGAATCCACTAGCTGTCACAACAGAAACTGATGAAAACCCGATCCCAACATCGTTGGGTGTGTAAAATGTACACTCCCTAAACCACTAATGCACATTTTCTACATCAAACTACTTTCCTGCATACACATTTGTCAACTAGCAACAGTAACCGCCAAGAATTGACCCCCTTCATGCAGGACGTGATTCATACTTGTCAGGAGCGTTAGTTTTCTTTTACAACAGTTTTTAATACTATAATCTGGCTAAACCAGCAAGAATAGTAGTAAAAGTAAGGAAGACGTTGGTTTTAGAAACTAGCTTGCTTGGTTGTGATGGAAGTTTAACGAAGACCTTAATTTACATACAACCCTCACATAATTAATATCTAAAGTTGTTTAGATTTACTTAATATACAAAATGTCAACATTGTCTAGAGCATCCAGTGTAAGAGGCTCAACAAATAAATGAATTGCATCAAACTACCATCATATTGTTAAGGTAAACTGAGCAATAATAAACCCATTAAAAATCATACTTCAAGAGGATTCAAAGAAGCTGATTTCAGCTTAATGTTCTATAACTCGTCATCAATTTTTTTCTGTTCTGTTGACCGTCCTATGTCTCCTTTTCTCTGTTTTTTGCTCTTTTTCTCCAATGGTTCAAAAGGTTCAGCGAGGCAAGCTTGGTTGTTTGCGTCGAGAACTCTCTCGACACAGAGATATTGTTGTAGACCTTTGTCTTGCGAGCCCTTGTACCAATCTTCTATATCCTCTTCAAACTCTTCTAGCATGAGTTCACACTGAAATAAATGTTAGTCATCACTAAACAGTTACTGGAGAATAAACTGGAGAAATAGATTTTAATCGGAAGATCAGAAAAGGGATATTTTAGGACAGCATTAGAAGGAGGCTTAATAGGCTAAGATGGTTTTGACATGTAAGAAGAATATGAAAATTAAATATTCATAGGAACAGTTTATGGGAGCAAAGCAGATAACCCAAAAGTAAAAAGACATTGGTGTTTTGGTCTTTAAAAAAATCCCCAAATAAATAAATAAATAATTCTTTATGGTCACATTAACGTTTTGAATCATAGCACAGCTAAAAAACCGATGACATTGTCAAGATTTTACTAATACTAACTAAAAATAATACAACAATAATATTTCTTGTGCAATTTGTTAAACCTAGGGTGCAAAACTTTTGAAACAAAAACAGAAAAAAATAAGAGCTAATCAAATAAGAACTTTGTTCATACAAAATAAAAGTCATATTGATTGGTTAGTTTAATTGAGGTAATCATTAACACTGTAATATGTTTTACTAATCAGAAAATCAGGAATGCTGCTTTTAAAAGATTTATTACTTACTTTACTTTCAAGGTTTACGTTAATTCATCTAACTGCGATAAATTGGGTGAAATATACATATTTTGAACATTTAGCATTGTTTAAAGAAACAATAATGATATTAATTGCGTTAGTTGCCAAATTTGGTTGATCATTCAATGAATAAAATATTCCCCATACCGTACGCCATAGGAGTTATTATTAGTATGTTATATGGTATCTCTTCCTTTGGAAGAACCTTTAAATAGTATTAAAATCGTATTGATGGCTCTTTTGTAGTTAAACACTTCCATGATTTCATCAGTGTAATGCAGATTAATCTATGATTTTATTTGAAAAAAAATATTTTTTGGGAAGACATATTCTAACTTCAAAGGGAGGTATAACCGTTACAGTGCAAGTTTGATTTTTCCTTCGTCTCGTCCCGTCAGTTCATATCGTACTTCTGTGCCAATGAGTGAACCCTCTAGCATAGTTTTGAGAAATTGATTGTGGGGTTACTGTTAAAGCTGGAATTCCTTGAAGTGAGTGATGTTAGTTAGTTGTCTCAGCCTTATCAATAACATAAAGTTGTCAATATAATCTCTCTACGGAATGTTAGGTGTAGTGGAATACTTGAAGTGAAGTTGGCTTTTATTCTTGAACTGTTAGGGGCCTCCTAGTTCATATGGTCTTGCGGCTTCATTGGCAACAAATAATGCAAATGACATAGCAATGGGACATTTCCAAAAAGCAAAAATACTGTAAATTGGCTGTTATGTATATTGATGTTTACACATTGTTAATCAACGTATCTTATAAAGGATTATGTGATCAGTTTAAAAGGAATATGACCTTTCTGTCATGACAGTAGCTGCCTAAATAGTATTTTCTCTTTGTACCATACTTTACAGCCAAAATGTCGTGTTATTTTCAATAATGTTACCAAACCAGTGCGCCAAAGTCCGTAATATAGGCAGGTGCAAATAATTTCTCAAGATGGGTACGATTTTAGGCAAGGTTTCTATGTTTGGATTTTATTAGACACGATAAGAGCAGATATTTCTACATAAATATATGATATGTGTACAAAAATATGATAAAATATAGGCAAAAGTGGTGAAAAAGGCAGACACCAACCCGTACAATAGATATAATAAGAATAATTGAAGAATTGCTGTGTTAAAAGGATTTTCCACTGATTTCGTAATGGAACGTTATATTGCAAAACATGACAAGATAAAGAAGAAAATCAATTTTAAAATCGGAAAATAACATTGCAAATACTTATTTGGTAGAATTCAGTAACTCTCAATAAATGTGTGTTGTTTGAAATACAATTTAAAAATGAACAGCTGTTTCATTAAACAGTATTATTCACATGGCCAAAATGTAAACAACTCTGTGGAGGGATCTTTAAAGGCTTCTGAGTCCTAAGGGATTTTGCTTAGTTTTTCTTTTGATAACTCATCTACAGACCAAGACCTTTCTTTGGACACTTCTACCAAGTTTCTACGCCCAGACGTTCTCTCAAATTAGAGGGGACAAAGTTTCCAATTAAATATTTAGATTCCCCATGTTAATCTTATGGGAGAAACTCCAACTTTGATGGCTTGTGGGGCAAAGCCCGAGGATTTTTATTACAGGAATTGGTGAAAGGGGGCGTATACACAAAAAATACTTTATTTTGACACGTCGTTTGTAAAAATCCGTCCATTATTAACGGAGGAGTAGTGTTTCGTAGAAATCGCCTTCACGTATTGTATATAAGGATTAAAATTTTTAGAGTTGAGGGTAGTTTATTAAAATTTATTTTTATCCATATATTTAGGCGTTTTTTTTTATACAAGCTTCATTCATTGTTTTGGATATTGAAAATTATTTTAAATCTAGTGTTACAGATGTGGTCAAAGTTTTTGCTAACGTATTCATCAAAATTTGAATGCACCGCTAACAATGTTTTGTAAATAATCAAATGTGAAAAAGTCACAATATTCAATTCTTTCAAAACTATTTAACATGAAGATTTCCATGGTAAAAAAGTAAACTACCACTTTAAACTTACAAAATTCCAACTAATTGTATAAAAAAAACTACAGAAAGGCACATAGCATCGCTGTGGACCTCCAATGTACCGTTTATATTGTAATTTAAGGGGAATGTGACTGCAAAATTAAGTAATTTAAGGAGAAAGATAGAAAATTGAAAAATTATTTCTTATCCTTAAAAAGTTTTTTTTTATGTTATGTCGTGTTATTGCTATTTATAGATATGTATTGAAACACGATATGCAAATTTTTTACCGAAATAAAGCAAAAAAGGGTGTCCTCCTCCTCTACAGGAAAAAGTAGCAAAACAAGTGTTGTGTGCAATCCCTTTTAAACTCAATAATGCCGTCAACTTCCAATATATAATATTTCAATCATCTAAGCCCGACACCGTTTATTCGGGTGGGACTCTCCCTCCAGCTTAGCCTCACATTATTGAGCTTAGTCAGGATTGCACACGTCAGTAATGGAATCCACGCATGTAGAAAGACTTCAGCTCTACACTCATCAGTGCAACACCTTAACCGACTGAGCTAGCATGCCACCATCGGACGATAGGGTAGTTTGCAGTTGTAAGCAAGCACACGACGACACTAGCGCTCTTAGGTCTGATTCAACCAACTATTTGAGCGCCAGTGGGTTACAGTACGACTGCTACTTTTAATCATTCGCTACGAACGCCAGTTTAGCGAATGATTAAACATTATACATAACTTTGATGTTACTTTTCTCACATATCTTTAAACTAAGAGTATCCAAATCTTTACCACATTTTTATACATAACAAACTTAGTTCCTACTAGAAGGATAGGAATAATCCATGCAACCCACAAGTAAAAAAAAAAATAATTACTGATTTTTTTTAAATAGTGCATTTTTATAAATTTCAAAAAGAACACTAGACTAAATATATTTTTAAAATCTCTATGAGGAACTAGATAAACATTTGATCTTTAAAATAAAAATAATAAGGCTCTATAGTTATCTAGATATATAGTAGCATATACAGTTAACATTAAATAAAATAGGCAGTCACAGTACCCTTAAACAAATTAAGCATTTAAATCTTATTATTGAGGTTAAGATAGTTAAAACTGAACTTTTACAATTTCACTATTATTACAGTTAAATGAATTATTAATTATGTACAGTTATGTTCTTCTCTCTTACTGCTTTCAACTTTTCTGCGTGGTTCATTAGAAAACTAGCTTTGTATGGACACAATTCTATTGTATTACTAATGGAGACAGAAGTCAATAGAGTATTAAAAACTGTTGGTTAAACCACAGAGTTTAAACATTCACTGCAGATAAACCAAACAACTATTTTCTAGTAGTGAACCTACTCACCTGAGTTTTCATGTTCGTTATTTCAACAGAAGGCTTGTCCCACAGCTCTAAAGGAATTCCCAGATCAACTTTCACTCCTTTGTCACTGTTAAAATGGTGTATTTTAGAGAAACATATAACATTAGCAGTGAATTTGTTAAGCAGTCTATATTCTACGCTTCTCAATGGGGATGAGACATATAAGAAAACTACTATCATTAACTATAATAGTCAAAGCTACTATAAATTCCACTGTAATTACAGCCTGCTTTAGGCGTGTATGAAGGTTGCGGCCGCACAGTGTCCCAGGCTTGGTGCAAAATACAAAAAGTTTTTAAAAGTCTGTACATTTTACATTAAATATGAAAATTTAAAAAAGGGAAGTTTAAATAAATACTTATAATATACACTGAGATATTTGTTAGTTAGTTTTGTTGTGATAATACTTTTATTGCAATACAGTATAAGGGCTCAGTGGCTATAGGAGAAAGGAATGTCTGGCAACAGAGCGACCTTAGGATGGGCAGAGCATGCTTGGTATTTTATACGTATGGGAGTCGGAAGGATAGGAGTTCGGGATTGGAGGTGTATGGTAATAAAACCAACATCTCCCTTGCCCTTGGAAGCACAGCGACAGTTTTTCAATCGTGGGTCTTGACGATTGAGTGCTGTGCAAAAACCATCCTGTACAAGAACCTGAGGCAGGGGAAAATACTGATCCTCTAAGACAGCCAAGCTGCAATAAAGGTGCTGGGATCTTGTGTGACAGAGTTACAAACAGTAAAGGTGTGTAAAAACACCCTCAAAATGCTAGCTAAGTGGGACCAGGTTTAAATAGTGTGGGTCCCTGGACACTGGGCTCGAGAAAACTGACGCATTGCCCAGGAGGGGTGCAGAAGAATAGCTTACAGAGCAGAACCCTACTGTGGTACCCCTATTAGTTATGGAGTAGCTACTGTAGAGGATACTGCGGATCAAGATCTTTGTATCCTCTGAGAAATGTCAAGATACGAGGGCCGTTTTTGCGTATAGCTCTGTAGTTCAGGTGTTTGCCGCAACAAGGCTCCTCGACACAGTAGGCCTTCTTAAATAGATGTTACTTCTTATTATAAACATATAAACCATAACTACAACATTTGGAATGATAAGGTAATTAAGTTTAACTCACACTAGCCCATGGAGGGTTTTAAATGTCTGACTCATTCCTCTAGCGAATCTTGAGCTGTCATCTCGCTCTTTGTGGATGTTATATTCAAGAATCCTGTCACAAATCTTGTCTAACGACTCAACCAGCCGCAACTCTCTATAAGAAAAAAGAAAAGGCAAAACCACTAAACAAGAATATTTTAGTATTAGGAAATGTATTTTGGATCTTTTCTGTTATGACTACCACTATGGGTTACGATATAGGTTGAGTTACGATATAGTAGGTTGGGTTAAAACTCATAAATAACCTAAAATATAATTGAACGGTTATTTTAAGTCAATATGTCACAGATTGAATGACTTATTTGCAGAAACACACTGTTCAGCAAGATACAAACTTAGGCAGCACTATTTTCTCCGTTTAAATTGAATGTTCTGACTTAGGCCTACTATAGTGGCATGAATCTTGAGACCATTTAAATCTGAGACACATAGTGGTGGAGGTATAATGGAAAAGGTCCTGCATTTTACATTGAGTGTCTCAGAAATAATTGAATATGTCCTGTCCCCGGTTAAATTGTTGCAAGCTACCTGCACAACTCCCTGAAAACTTCACAAACAAATGGAAATATAACTAGGTGGCGTTTGCAGAGGCATCCACAAAATTGAGCGGAGTCATCAAGGGTTCACATTATATTGTTTTTGTCATACTGCAGTAAAAACAGTCGTTTTTAATGCATGCGTTGCGGGTCTAAAGTAGCATTTTTACTCTTTAGGGAGTAAAAATCATTTTAGCCTCTATGGAGTAAAAATCAGCTGTTCTCAACTCAGTTGTAAATTTCTATTGTAAACGATTGCATGTATCGAAATATGTATCGATTCGTGCTTCGTAATCATTTTAACCTACAGTCTACAGTCTCTTCCCATAGTGTTTTAGCATTGCAGATATATTAATCCATTCCCACACTCAACACTGCTCACCTTTACTACTCCCTTCACCACCCCCTACGTCGTAGACCTGTTTCCTTCTCTTCCCATAGCATTTTAGGATTGCAGATACATTAATGTAATTGCCAAAGACAGTTCCCACACTCTGCACTGCAAGCCTTACTACTTCCTTCACCATTTCTTACGTCATAGACCTGTTTCCTTCCCTTCTCATAGCATATAAGTATTAGATACATTTATCTAACAGCCCAAACGGTCCCCCCACTCTGCACTGCCAGCCATTACTACTTCCTTCATCGTTTCCTACGTCGTGGGGCCTCTTTCCTTCCCTTCTCATAACATTTTAGGATTAAAGATACATTAATCTAACTGCCACAGATGGTTCTCACACTACGCTCAAACTTCAGTTTACTTCCGAAGCCACTACATGGTGGACCTGTTTTCTTCACTTTCCATAGCAATTTAGTATTTCAGATACGTTAATCTAATTGCCACAAACATTCCCCACACTCCGCACTGCTAGCCTTTACTTGTTCTTTCACCATTTTCTATGTCGTGGTGATGCTTCCATTCCTTCTCATAGCATTTCAGCATTGCAGATACATTATTCTAACTGCTACAAACTGTTTCCAGTTCCCAAACTCCACACTGCTCCCCTTAATACTTCCTTCACCTCTTATTACGCCGCGGACCTGTTTCCCTCTCTTCCCATAGAATATTCAGATTGTAGATACCTTAATCTAATCGTCATAAACAGTTCCCACACTCCGGACAGCTTGCTTGACTACTTCCTTCACCACTTCCTGCTTCTCGGACCTGTTTCCCTCCCTTCCCATAGCATTTTAGTATTGCAGAAACCTTAATCTAATCGTCACAAACAGTTTCCACAGTCCGGACTGCTCGCCTTTACTACTTCCTTCACCACTTCCTACGTCACGGACCTGTTTCCCTCCCTTCCCATAGCATCATAGGATTGCAAATACCTTAATCTATTGGTCTTAAACAGACCCCACACTCCGAACAACTCGCCTTTACTACTTCATTCACCACTTCCTACGTCACGGACCTGTTTCCCTCCCTTTCCATAGCATTTGAGGATTGCAGATACCTTAATCTAATCGTCATAAACAGTTCCCAGATTCCGGACAGCTCGCTTTGACTACTTCCTTCACCACTTCCTACATCACGGACCTGTTTTCCTCCCTTCCCATAGCATTTTAGGACTGTAGATACCTTAAACTCATCGTCATAAACAGTTTCCACACTCCAGAAAGCTCGCCTTGACTACTTCCTTCACCACTTCTTACGTCGCGGACCTGTTTTCCTCCCTTCCCATAGCATTTTAGGATTGCAGATACCTTAATCTAATCGTCACAAACAGTTCCTACAGTCCGGACTGCTTGTCTTTGCTACTTTCTTTACCACTTCCTACGTAACAGTTCCCACACGAAATAATTAAATATGTCCTGTCCCCAGTTAAATTGTTGCAAGCTACCTGCACAACTCCCTGAACACTTCACAAACAAATGGAAATATAATTAAGACTTTGAATATTTAATTCATTAGCCTACTTATCAGAGAGAAAAATGAGATCAGTTTGAATTGGGAAAAAATGCAACGTAGGTAGTTTCAACTTTTAAATTCAGACTACAGGAGACAAACACACAGACAAGACTGTTTTAAATTCTAAAAATACTAAGTAAACTACCGTAATGGTAAAGAACAAAAATTGAGAGTGAGTTGTCAGTCGATATTTTAACATTAGTAATCAAAACGGTCCCTATAACAAAACACATTGTCTAGGTACAAGTAAACGTACAATAATAATTTCTTAAAATTACAGTATCTGGTACACTTTGTAACTTACGATTTCTTGTAATGTGTCTTCTTTTTAGGCTTGATGTCATCTAAAGAATAGCCTATTTCAATCACTTCTTGAACTTTGCCAGTTTCTTGCAGACGACTTTCAAGTTCATGGGTCACAATCTTGCAAACTACAATAAATAATTAATTTTTTTTTACTTCCTTAGTACTGGATGGTAAGAATAACTAAAAGCTCAAACACTGACATACACAATTTCAGAGAAGGCACAGAATTATGGAACCTATTTGGGAAATAAACTTAATTAACTCCAGAGTCTTACACAGACATAGGCCTATAGCCTATAAACAAAAAAATACAAACAAAAAATGTCAAAATTTGTTACGTTCCCACAACTCCAAAACTCGTTAATATGAACATTAAAGTGTACGAAAAGTAGTATTTCAATGACAGTGTACCTACTTTGTTTAGCAGAATGGAATCATTTCCAGGTATTTAAAATGGCATTGTTGTCGGTCTTTTCTTATCTGTCTGGGAGAGATGACTGTTTGCTGTAACGTCTCCAGCAGCAGCTCCCAGTAATGAATCACTGTTGACTTTGTCGCAACAATGAGACAATGATTAATTGTAGTTCAGTTACAAAAAAAATTAATTTTAAGCTTTTTCAGAAGTTTGGTTGTGTGGGGTTAAGGTTAGAACAGTGTCATCTAACCTAACCTAACTTAACCAACCAAACTTTTCGAACAGCTTAAAACTTGCAGTAGTTATTCTACTGTTTTATGTGTTTTCTCCAAATTTATATAAAAAACCTTTTCTAAATATTGCATTTTTCTTTATTTATAACATATAAAAGGTTTCATTAAGTTATGGAGGTGTGTAATTAATAAAATAGAGTTGTGGGCATGTAACGGATTTTGACTACAAAAAGTAACAGGAACAAAATTATAAAAAAAATAAAAAAATGTGTAACAAAATGTCGGGTTTATGGTGTCCTGCAATTACAGTATGCAATTGAAAGTACATTTCAACCATGGATAACCCAGACCCTCCAGTATTCTGACTTGTTCCCTCCTCCCTTAAACAAATACACTAGGCTACTTATCTATATTTATAAAAGAGGAAGTTTGTATGTTTGACCCTTATGAGCTCGGACAACGTTCAACCAATTGCCACAAAACTTGGTACATACGTGTAGAATTTCATGGAATAGGTTTATAGGCCTACGCCAACAATTTCGTGATCTGCCAATCGGCTCTGCCCCAGTGGCTCTAACAACATGTAACTTACTCACTGCTTGATGGCATCTTAAGACTAGAAAACTGGACTGTGGACTGTGTTAATAGTCCAAGTTTTAGCTAGGTGACCGGCAACGTGGCCAGCGACCAATAGCCACGGCGCTGGGGACATGGCAGGCCAGCGTAGTGTGATAGAGGCCCAAAGTTGTTAACTACCCGCAATCCAGCTAGTCTGTTATAAAACCTATATATACCGTACTAATAATTTTACTGTCATCAAGACTGTTCAAGATGACGGCTTCTTGTAAGTTAATGTTTTTAAGACAAGCACTTTATGTTGCTATATGTATCGATTGTACCTGACGATAGCCCATACATTTATGTAAGTTACCGTAATGTTTTTGGCAAAAAAGAGTTCTGATTTAGACTACCGGTAGGCTACAGTAACTGATTTCTGATTTCTCAAGGTGTTCGGACAAAGCTTATTTTAAGACAAAGCAAGTTTGGTTTTCAACCTGATAAGTTATATGTAGGCCTACATATAGCTATAGGCCTATATTCATTTGAGATGGGGACTCCATCTATGTGCGTATTTTAGCACAATTAGAATGAAGGGTGACTAGAATGCAGTGATTTCAGTTTAAAGTGTGATGTCGTGTGTGTGTGTGTAGCCTTTGACTATTAATAGGCTACAACCAGACATTCCATCCCCATGTAAAAGTTGTCACCAGGTTTTTGATCAAATTTGTCTTAGTTGATGTGAGCCACCTACAGATTGCACTAGTCAATGGTGTAACTTATCTCTGTTGCTGACTAAAGCCCCGTTCACATGGGGCAAGTTTACACGCTACTCGCCGGCGTGTAAGAAGCCAGCGAGTTGGCGAGTGTGCTTGTATTCGTTCACACGGAGCTTGTCCACTTGCCAACTCGGAACTCGCCGACGTGTAGAAAGACGCCAGCGAGTCGGCGAGTGCGCTTGTAGTCGTTCACACGATGCTTTTTCCACTCGCTCAGTAGCTGGCTTGAACTAAATCCACCGACATCTTCGAATAACATGCGCACAAGTACAAGCAACTGTGTTCATACTGGGCTACTTTACACGCCTACTCGCTCAAAAGCTGGCAAGTTGGCGTGTAAAGTAGCGGCAGCGTAAACTTTTTCCAGAGCTTTTTTACAAGCAGCTTTTGAGCGAGTACATCGTTCACACTGAGCTATTTTACCAGCTGCGTGTAAAAAATCCGGCTTGTAGCTTGTAAACTCGCCCTGTGTGAACGGGGCTTACGACCGGTTGTTTCATTACAGTAGTCAGGATCATCATTTGAAAGCCCAATGATCAAGCAAGGACAGCTGGGTGCAGTTTCAAACCACACAAAAAATTCCACACTACCTATGTTTGATTTTCAATGTTTTAATAAATTTAATTTATGTTCGTAAATTTAAATTTAAATTGATAAGTTAGGGCTTAATACTTACGTGAATTAGGCTAAAAAACTGGTGTCACCTGTCTAGGCTATATACCGTACCAGTACCATGTTATCTTATGGGACGTCTGGCGCTAAACAACACTACTCTTGCGACATTGCCAATTCTACCACCAGGCTGCGGCCTGGAGTTAAAGGAGCGCCGTATATTTAAACCCAATGGACTCGACTTTAAATAGCAAACAAATCAGATAAAAATAATGTTCAAAGGTGAACAATTAGATGGCAATTGCAAGGTTTGGGTTAGCCTAAATCATATCCTATAGGCCTTATAGGGTAAGTTGGTTGAGAATCTGAGACTAGGCCTACATCAATGTTATCAATTAATTAGGCCTAGGCCTAGTTAATACCAGTTAAGTTCGGTATTGGGATGGTTGGTTTTATATACTGTAGCCTACTTATTCAATCATAAATTCATTAATACTATAAAAATACCTTCACACTTATTGGCGTACTTAACCCCTTCATTTTCTTCCTGACCGCCAGACGTGAAACTATATAAATGTAGAAATATTATTAACTGGAGAACAACACTATTTACAATAGTCATTTTAAATGGTCATACAGGCTGAAATACACTATACAGAATCGAATAATTCTACACGACAACCTTTGAACTTTGATGGAACTTAATTAAATAAATTATTGTCGTTCACGTTCACGTCAATCCTTAACAATTTTTTTTATACTTACAGTATTACCTAACCTAACCTAATTGTTGTTTTGTTTTCGTTTAGAAAGAAGTAGGCTAGTCAAGTAGAAAGAAGAGAAGTCAGTAGTGTTTTTTTTGTTTGTTTATTTTCCCCTGGATCAGCCTCATTCACACGGGGCGAGTTTACAAGCTACACGCCAGCGTGTAAGAAGCCGGCGATTTGGCGAGTGTGCTTGTATTCGTTCACACGGAGCTTGTCCACTCGCCAACTCGCCGACGTGGAGAAAGACGCCGGCGAGTCGGCGAGTGCGCTTGTAGTCGTTCACACGACGCTTTTTCCACTCGCTCAGTAAGGCCTACCGCACACGAGAGACTTTTTGTCGGCCGACTTTTTAGTCGTAGTCGGGAGTCAAAGTCGGCCCCATAGTGGTAAATCTGAGTGCGCACACGGGCCGACAGTCTGAAGACAGTCGGCAGACTGTCTTCAGACTGTCGGGGCAGTTTGGTGCTGACCGATTTTCCCGCCGACTGCTCCCCGACTCAACTGTCGTGTATTATTGATAAAGGCATGGAGATAAGTTAGAACGCGCACACTGACGACTAAAAAGTCTGCCAGTCTGACAGTCGAGTGCGTTGTTATCATGTGTATTATTATTGTTATTATGATTAGTATTTAATTTGTGTGTTATTGTTATTATTAAGGCTTCGACAACCACCAGTGCAAGTGTTTTGAGGGACGAGAAAGTTGATAAACTTATCGATGAAGTTGAGGCAAGGTTCCCTCTTTATAAAAATACTTTGAAGGAGTATTTGGCCATAATAAAAAATACCCCCGCTGCAGCAAACCTGCAGACTAAATGATATCCTATTTGCCTGATTTAATTTTGTATTTAATCTATTTCAATAAAATTAGGATAAACGAGTACCTAGGTTTGCTGCTACAGGGAGGGTATTCAGGGTGTGTTTTAGTAAAATAGCTGAGTATAAAATAAATAGATTTGCCAAGTTTTATCAAAAAACATCCATAAACAAGCAAACTACAACAGTTTACTTGTTCTACATATAAATGACATGAAAATTGTAACTTTAAATATTTTGGAATTTCCCTGTAACCATTATGATAACAATTAGCATGCTAAATTATTTGTTTTTTAAGCTCTGCAAACTGTTTTCTAAAGAAGTTACGGAATCTTTTGTTTTTATCGTAAAAAAATTGGAAACCCCCATTTTTACCCGATAAAACCTCCCATAAACCCCCGTTCCCATAGTCCGATCATGCTGGTTTGCAAACTCCTTCGAATAAAATAGATGTAGGGTTACACGTTTGTACCAATTTTCATCAAAATCGGATAATCTTTGCTCGAGTTATCGTGCTAACGGACAAAAATATATGTGTGTGTGAATTTGAACGGATGGTGTGTTTGGACTCTGGGGATATCAAAACGAAAAAGTAAATCGGTCCCGGGACCAGGTCTTACCATAAGACCTATGGTTATAACTTATTCTCTATATGGGAAATTTGCTAAAATAAGTTATGGGATGAGGTATTTGAAGCCGGGGTATTAATAATTGGTCAAAACTACCAACACTCATTCATGAGCACATGACAAATTTGTCCGGATATTTCCTCAAATCCGAGAATATGAGGTAAATTTGGCCTTTCAAGGTTCTCGGACTATAAATTGGATGCACCCAGTATTTTATATTACGTTTTCTTGCACGAAATCGTATCAGTAAGACACATATGACAGTGGTTTCTGTCATATACATCATTTTGACACTCGAAAGACGACTAAACAGTCGTGTCGTGTGCGCACCCACAGTCAAAGACCAAACAGTCTTGACGACTTTTCGATTGTCCACCCGACTCCAGCCAGACAGTTGGCAGACAGTCGGCCGACAAAAAGTCTCTCGTGTGCGGTAGGCCTAAAGCACGGGTCACACTAGGCTGGCATCAGCGGCGAATTGAAAGAAGCCGCTACTGTCAGCTTGATGTGACCACAAAATTCGCAGCTGGCATCGCTAGCCGACGAGTATTTGTCAGCGGCTGGCGAAGTTGGACATGTTCAACTTTTGGTAGCGAGGCAGCGGCGACTAGAGGTCACGTGACCACTCGCACTCGCTGACGCCAGCGAGCAGCGCAGTCTGACCACCTCTAGAAGCGTGCCAGCGGCGACCAAAGGTAATATCCAGCTTGGTTTAACACAAAAGGACAAAAGCAACTGTCTCAATATTTTAATTAGAGGCTTAACTTAATTCTAGTAATGCCTGGAATGTATGTGGTGACATGGTGACATTCGTAAAACATTTTGGTATGTTTCTGATTCTTTTTTTAGTGCGTTTAAAAACGTGGTATGTTTAAAAAGTATTTTTATTTGTAAATTATTTGTAACCAAGACCTGATCCACTAACGTCTCTTCTTGCGGTTAAGCATCTTTTAATAAAATTATTTCTCTTTCACACACATCCTCAGTATTAAGTGCTGGATGAGGACCCAAAAAAGGACACAATGGCAACAAGAACTTAACTTTAAAGTAGTTGTAGCATAGAAATTACTGAGCTTAGGTGGTCGGGGAAGCAGGTTATTGATTTCTTAAATTTATTGTTTCTTTATAGAAGTAAGAACATCAAATAAGCAGCTTACAGTGATTTGTTACAAAACCTCAAAGCTGTTCTTTTCCTTCTCTTCTCACACATCGTTAATATCGCGATCACCAGCGGCTGACAAGCAGCCTAGTGTGACCCGTGGAAAAGCCGCTGCTTGATGGTGCTGGTGCCAGCCGCTGATAACTAGCGGCTGGCGAGCAGCCTAGTGTGACCCGTGCTTTACTGGCTTGAACCAAATCCTCCGACATCTTTGAGTAACAAGCGCACAAGCACAAGCAACTGTGTTCACACTGGGCTACTTTACACGCCTACTCGCTCAAAAGCTGGCGAGTTGGCGTGTAAAGTAGCGGCAGCGTCAACTTTTTCCAGAGCTTTTTTACAAGCAGCTTTTGAGCGAGTACGTCGTTCACACTGAGCTATTTTACTAGCTGCGTGTAAAAAAGCGGGCGTGTAGCTTGTAAACTCGCCCCGTGTGAACGGGGCTGATCAGCAACTTATAGCAGACCTCTAGAGTAACCATGCACCTAGTTACATGGAGCTATGTTTAAGCTATGCTTATACATACCTTTCATTAATAATTTGTATATCTGATAAGTACTTACTAGCTGTGTACCCTTACGAATGATTGGTTACTGGACTATGACAATATTGTAAAAATGTACTCCGCTTAAAAATGTACAGATATAGATTAATTCATATTGTTTCGGATTTCAATTCTGTATGTTTTATTTTCAATATTTTAATAAATTTATGTTTATAAATTTAAATTTAAATCAATTAAGTGTGAATTAATGAGCTGATATCACCTGTCTGCCATGTTATCTTATGGGACGTCTGTCACTGAACAACACCACTTGCAATGTTGCCAATTCTACCAGGCCGCGGCCTGTAGTTAAAGGCGGCCGTGTCTGTACCCGCTCTACGGACGGTATCATGTAGTCATTGAACTGTACTTTGAATTGTACTTTGAACTCGAGTTGCACATTATACTTTTCCTACAGTTACCATAAAACAAATAAATTGGTGAAGAAACATTACCTATTTTTACACAGAAGTGAACTTTTAATATCACATTTAATGTGAAGTGACAAATACAACAGTATAACAGCTGACCAGCTGATTTACAGCCAGTGCTGCCAACGTATTTCGCGCGCATACGACGTTGCCTGCATGTTACGCGCTCACTATTTCGTGCCTTCTCGTTGCAAATCTGGAGTGAGACAAAGTAATTAGAGTGAGACAATGTTAACATTGTCTCACTGATGAGCGAATTGGCCACTTTGCTTTCTCAAATCAGTGAGAGAACATGTACATTGTTAGGTAACTGTAGGAAAAAAATAATCTTTATCCAAACAGCTGTTCGTTACTTCATAGATGTCGTATATTCTCCACAGATAGGTATTTGATAAATAACGTATTATAGAAAACATTTGTACCAGTTTTTTAATTGTAAAAAAATATTCTTTATTTTTAGTATAAAAACAAACAAATTATACATTTTTATAAATAATTATGTCGGAAGATTTTCTTACAACGTTTGAAACAAGAAAAAAATTATGCCATAAGTAACTCAGAATATGTCATCAAGAGCTGTTTCATGAATCTTAAAGATGAACTAAGAGCTGTTCTAAATTAAATTCCACCTATCTGGTTAAGCTGTAAAACCAGTATAAAAGACAATGTTTGCATGTTAGATCTCTTTTTTGGTAAAAATGGATTGCACAGTTGAGTGAAAATTTAAAAACGTACGTTTTCATGTCCCTGGCCTTTTACTGTCGTAAATACTGGATTTGTAGTTTATTATTATGTGTTTTAATATTTTTTGGGATGGGGGCAACATGTTACACATATTTATTTGGTTTTAAATAGGTTCTAGGTACTGTAATATATTGGAATCAGCTGATAATTTGGTTTTATGTTTATTATAAAAATGTAAACAAATAATGTTATATTTTGTTCTATGATTAAATGAGTTTAAGTTAGTTCTTGATTTTATTTCACTGGCGACGATGAGTAAAAAACGAACCCAAAGATGTGAAGATATTGGTTGTAACAATAAAGAAGAGGTGCGAAAGAGAATGGAAAAGTTTTCAATAGAACCCTATGATGAAAAATTGAACTGGGAGGATTATGAAGCTCACTTCCAATTGATGTGCAAGGTAAAGGGATTGGGTGATGACAGTGATGAAACTGAGGAGGCCAGAAGGGATCTTCTTCTAGCATATGTTGGACCTGTACCCCTCAAAAAGGTATCTAACTTTGTTTTACCTAGGAAAATTTATGACATACCAATGACTGAACTGCTTGATACATTTCGGTGTGTTTATAAACCTAGTAAAACAATCTTTGCAGCGAGACTAGACTTTGAAAAATGTGTGAGAGGAAATGATGAGAGTTTTTCAAATTTCGTCTTACGTTTAAAAGAGTTAGCCTCCTACTGTAAATACGACAGGTATTTTGAGGAAAGAGTAAGGGATAGATTTGCTGGTGGCGTTAACTTTCCACAGTTTGAAGTTGAAATCAGGCAAAGGTGGCCAGAAGGCATAAATAAAGATGGTTCACGTTTAACTTTAAATGAGCTGGTAGATTTAGCTGAAGCGATGGATAGAGCTAAGCGGGAAATGAATATTTTAGAAGAAGCTATGCCTGTAATTAACAAGGTACATAACTATGATAAGAAAAATAGATCTTTGGCAAAAGAAACATACAGGCATTCTACAGAAGATTGTAATCGGTGTGGACTAGTACACAATGGAGAAATTTGTCCAGCTCAAAAGTCTAAGTGTTTTTCATGTGGAATGCAAGGTCATTTCTCACGGCAATGTGGAACCAAAAAGACAAAACAATGTCACTTCTGTGGAAAGATGGGTCATTTTCCGCGACATTGTCGTTCAAAAAAGGCCTATTTGAACCAAATCAACGACACAGACATAACATCTGAGGAAGAAGAGGTACAGTTAGGAATTTCTGAACTTAAACCTAATAGGAAGATCCCAAGAGCACAAATTAATGTTACCCTAAATGAAGTACCAACAACCATGGAGTTTGATTCAGGAGCTAGAGCATCGATGATTGATGCACCCCTGTGGAAACAAATTGGATCACCAAATTTGAGGGCATGTAAAACAAAATTTGTCGCTTATGGAAACAATACCCTGGATGTTTTAGGAGAGTGTGAAGTTAACGTTAAAGTTGATGGACGGATTAGGAATCTTAAGGCTGCTGTGGTAAATGGAAACGAATCTCCTTTATTTGTATTACCATGGATGCTTGCCTTCAACATGAAATTACCACCTAGTGTTACGATTCGTAAGTTGGATAACACCCATAAGGATGAAAATGCGTCTATAGTAACCGAAGAGGAAATTAACCAAGTTATTTCAGAGTTTAGTGATGTATTTAAGAAAGAATTGGGAACAATTAAAGGCTATCAGGCGAAGATACATGTTAAGAGTGACTCAGAGCCTAGGTGTTTTCCTGCTCGCAGAGTGCCTTTTCCACTAAGAAGTAGAGTTGAGCAAGAACTAAACAGACTGGTAAGTGACGGTGTTATAGAAAAGGTAGACCCTTCCAAAACTCCTATCGAATGGGCAACACCAACAGTAAATGTTGAGAAGGAAAATGGCACAATTAGAATATGTGGAGATTTTCGGGTAACCTTAAACCCAAACATCATTACCCATACAACACTTTTGCCAACTTTTGAGGAACTGACGAATAAAGTATCTCGAGGGAAGCAGTATTCAGTTGTCGACTTGAGAGATGCATATCTCCAAATGGAAGTATCGGAGGAAGACAGAAAATATCTGATAATATCCACACACGTTGGATACTATAGATACAAGAGACTGCCATTTGGTATAACCTCCAGCCCAGGTATCTTTCAGGAATACATGGAGAAGCTCCTTGAAGGCATACCACAAGTGGGGGTACTTCTACATGATGTAATCATTACGGGCCGAAACAAAGAAGAACATCTCATGAACTTAAAGGAAGTATTAAAACGAATGGGTGAAGCAGGGCTAAAAGCGAAGAAAGAAAAATGTAGATTCATGCAGAATTCAGTCACCTATCTTGGACACATTATCGATGAACAGGGTATCCATCCGACAAAAGAGAAGATGAAGCAATACAAAAGGCACCTAAACCTACAAATGTCAAACAGCTTAGGTCTTTTTTAGGATCCATAAATTATTATGAAAGGTTTATCCCTAGGTTGCATGCGCTGTGCTCAAGGTTACATCGACTTACTAGCAACAGATCGAAATGGATCTGGACAGAGAAAGAAGATGAAGTATTTACAAAGGTCAAAATGATTCTTTCGGAAGAAGACACAGTTGTTCCATATGATGAATCCAAGCCTCTAGTGTTGGTGTGTGATGCGTCAGAAGACGGTCTTGGGAGTGTCCTAATGCACAAGTGTGAAGATGGTCTGGAAAAACCAATAGCGTATGCTAGCAGAACTCTTTCAGATGCTGAGAAAAGATACTCGAATATTGATCGAGAAGCACTTGCAATTTTATTTGCTGTAAGAAAGTTTCACCAATATGTATATGGACGAAGCTTCACACTTGTCACCGATCATAAACCCCTTCAAAGAATATTTGGAGAAAACCGGAATCTTCCAAAGGTAATGAACAATAGGTTGGTGAGATGGGCCCTCGAACTGAATCAGTACAATTTTCAAATCAAGTACAGGAAAGGAGATGAAAACGTTTGTGCTGATGCACTATCCCGTCTTCCCATCAGAATCAGAGAAGAAGCTACCGATGTAAGAGACATAAAGTTTTTAAACATGGATAAAGTTGAGACATTGGTGTCCTATAAGGAACTCAAACATAACAGCAGTTTGGACAAGGAGATAAAATTAGTACAAAGTTATGTGCTAAATGCATGGCCAGAGAAGGTACCAGATAACATTAAAACATATAAACAAAGGAAAGAAGAATTATCAGTTGAAGATGGTGTTTTGATGTGGTTTGGTAGAGTTGTTGTGCCAACAAATATGAGAAAAAAAATCTTGAGAATTTTGCACTGTGGCCATCCTGGAATTTCAGCTATGAGATCAATTACGAGATACTATGTATGGTGGCCTGACATTGACAAAGACGTTGAAATGCATGTTAAGACTTGTGAAGCATGTCAAGAAAACAGAGGAAACATTGAAGAAGTCCCAGTCTATCCATGGAACATTCCTGAAAAAGTGTGGGAAAGAGTTCATTTGGATTTAGCTGGACCAGTTGATGGAGTAATGTGGTTAGTAGGGATTGACGCGCTATCTAAGTGGGCAGAAGTTGAATGTTTAAGAACAACGACTTCAACTGCCATAATTCAAAGATTAAGATCGTGGATGAGCAGGTATGGGATACCATCACAAGTAGTAACTGACAACGGGCCACAGTTTGTCTCTACTGAAATGGAAGCATTTTTCAAGAGACATTCAATTCGACATATAAGAACTACTCCTTATCATCCTAGAAGTAACGGCTTAGTTGAACGTCTAATAGGGACTTTGAAAAGGCGTTACAGAACAACAAAACAAGAAATTAATGATTCTTCATTGGCATTGCAAAATGTGTTGTTCAGTTACAGAAATGCCCCACAAAAAACAACAGGACGAGCCCCTGCTGAGTTGTTTCTTGGTCGAAGAATGCCAACCATGTTGGACAACATGAAACCAAACCTTAGACAACAATTAGATCTGAAAATTTGGAAGGAACAACAAAACCCAACTCAAAAGAAAACCTTAAGAGCATTCAGTGAAGGGGAAGAAGTATGGATGAAAAAAGAGAATAGCCCTGGTTGGATAGCAGGAACAATAGTCAAACGCAATGGCTTATACTCTTATGAAGTCATGTGTGGTGGAGTGATAAAAAGAAAACATTCGGATCAACTGCGAAGAAGAGAAGGTGCGGTAGACGATGAGGAGGGAAAAGTGTAATATATTGGAATCAGCTGATAATTTGGTTTTATGTTTATTATAAAAATGTAAACAAATAATGTTATATTTTGTTCTATGATTAAATGAGTTTAAGTTAGTTCTTGATTTTATTTCAGGTACTTTTTTCGTATTTTTAAGTCTTGAAATTCACGACCATGACGTGTCCCTAGGGTACATTTTCCAACTTTCACGCTGTTTTTAGACTACCTAATTATTCATGCCGAAATATATAAAGCCATATTTTTATGTCATCAATAGTTATTAAACTTACAAAAAAGGAGCATATTATAATTTTATTGTCATTGCAAACTGACTACCATGACCAAATAAGTCTGTCCCTCGATTTGGCGTCACGACCATTTGGGAAAATAATGCAACTTTGGAGCACGACAGTGGCAAGCCTGGCGTCGATTGCGTCAGTTAGTTTTAGAGACTAGTTCGGGGCAAACGTCTAGTTTGTTGTGCCGGTCGTTTCGAGTTGAAATAATTAGTTAAGCTACAAGATTAATAAAGGAAATTTTGTGTTTTTTCTAATTTTGGTGTGTCCATGACCGTACGTAGTCATTTGATGAAGTAGACGTTGTTTAAATTTTTGTTGATATGATACTTCAATTGCTACATTAACCTAGAGCCCACTTTGTATCCTCGAACATGAGGTGCAGGGCTACCGCCAGAACAGAGCCAAATAACACGTAATGTCACGACCAAAGTTTCACGACCATCGCTGGTTTTTTCACGACCAATCCAGCCTTATGGATTATACTGTGTTTGGTCGTGACAATAACTCAAATATCAGTGTATATTGAACAGTTTAGTTCAATTGAAACACATATTTTTATTATAACTAACAGTATAATTGAAGGATTGTTTAGAAAGATTTAGATTATTCCAGACAATTCACGACCGTACCGCTTGTCCCTGACTATTACGCTGATGATTTCTAACATAAAAATTTTAAATATCATCATATTTCGATGTTTTATACACAAAAGAAGCACACCTCTATAAAAACATAACGACTTTTCAGGTCTCAGGTAAGTTTTTTCGGAGCTATACAAACTTAAAGGATTTGATTGTTTTTTACGGTAATAGCTTATTCCCTAGGCTATATGGGAAATTCGCTAAAATTACAGGCGGAATCGCTGATTAAAATACAGAAAAACGTGACGTAAAAATAAAGGCCAAGCACCAGCTGATTTAAAACTATATCTAAAACATAGGCTACATGCTTATTGTTTGTGTTCAATCCAAACAAAGTCGGAGAGTGTAAATGTTATCAAGTAAGTTTTAGTCAACTTTGTTTAGTTCATTATGTTTTTCAACGTGACAAAATGTATCACTCTGCTATTATTCATCGCCCATTCTGTGTCTGTCTTCAGTAAGAAACCTGCAAAATGCAAACAAGATTTAGAATGCAACAAGCCTGCTGATTTTATCAAATGTGCCCACTGCAGAAGACAGATAGGTAATCTAGAAGGGCATTGTGAACTCATAGATTGGGTAATATTTTCTAAAAGTGATCCTTGTGAATATTCCAGATCACACTGTCAAGCAGATTTCTGTCAGAACTCGGAAGGTTATGTAGAAGGCTATGGCAAGTGTGTTTGTATCTGCAAAGATTCCGCTTATGGAAATCAATGCAAGCAGAAGGGCGATATTGGCTTCAGGTACCCGAGTGGTATTCAGTTCTTCCCTCCAATACATATGGAGTTCAACACTCCGGCGCCACTTCTCATAAGTGTAGCTCGAGGCCCGAGGGATAAAGCGCAGCTCGGGAGATTGTATTTTCACGTCCACGACCTTTATAAAGGCTACTTTGTCCGAATCAACAAGTTTGTAGAGGTAGAGAAACTTGAAGGCTGGCTGACTGGGGCAAGGAAGTATTGTGATCATTTCGTGACTGACGGTACTAAGTACTTTGACCCAGATGTATGTCGTTATATTAGTGTTTATGTGTCAGCACACTTGTCAACTGCTCAGATTGTGATTCCGTTCGACTGGTCGTCCTCGATGTCGTATCAATCAGTTTCTTTCATTAGATACATAAAACTAGATGCATACTGGGACGGACTGAAAGTGTCTGAGCAAATGCACAGATACCATTTGAGTACGCCAGATCACGCTCAAGAGAGAATTTATATAGGATTTGAAGGCTGTGGATACACTGTTACCACAAGGACAAATTACAAATTTAAACACACAATCCGGCTCCGTTTTAACAGTTATAATGGGAATTCGTTAAACCACAATTTAAAAGTGGAATATATTGAATATCAGCAAAGGTGGGAAGCATACAAGGTGGAAGGAGACACTAATACACACAGGTCTATAGACTATTATCGATATACAAGTAATACTTGGGTTATTCCTCCTTATAGATGGCATGGAATGTATGTAGTTAATTGTTCATACAAAGGTGTATTCAACATTAAAAGTTTAGAACATCCAAACGGTCTACGTTTGAGGTTAGAGAACTTTAACATCTGTCTAGTGGAAGTGTCATATTCTCCCTTAATTGCTGTCATTTCTGGAGGAAGCTCGAGATTTATCTTTAGGGAACAAGGCTTGGTCCTAGACGCGTCAGCTTCTTCAAACCCAAACATGCCTGATGGTAAGTCAGGATTGATCTTCACGTTTTCTTGTAACTGGACAACAGAAGTTGTTTGTCAACCGTACACAATTACAGATAACATTGATGGACTTTATGAAATCAAGCCGATGTCAATCGAAGGGAATAGAATTTATAATTTTACTCTGAAAGTTACATCTGAGGGTTTTGATAGTAAGTTGGAGCCGGCTTATGCACATCAGATGATTTCTGTAGGCAACTTAGGGCTGAACGAAACTTCACGTCAAACTATTTTAATTGACTGTGTTTACAACTGTGAGATCAAAACAAATCACAGAGACATAATTTATTTGCAAGTTGGCGGTCAATGGGCCCTTTTGAATCAATTTAACTTTCAATGGGAAATATATGAGTTTGACGAGCAAGGTCTTCTACTAAGCACAGATTTCTCAGTTGAATCTTTAAAACAAAGTGATACACCTTCTTTCGTACTGATTTTGAATGAGAATGTTCTAAAGGAAAACTCATCATACCAGTTAAAAGTCACTTATTCAAGTTCAAACCAGTTTGCAATATACCCTATATCAATTGCATTTTCCGCTTTACATTCATGTAAAATTTACCCAGAGACTGGAGTGGCAGGCTCTACTGTTTTTAATATCTCTTGTGTTGCAGACAGCTCTATATCAATGTTTGAATTTTATGATAAATACAAAACGGATGAGCCAGATTTCAGCGGACGGATGATTGCCTCTCAAGTAACAGGCAATATTGAAGAACTAACTCTTACAAGAGGGAAATTGGAAATACATTTGTTCAATGAGTATTCAATTCAATTCAATTCAATTTCAATTCAATTATTTAAGATGGGGACGCCACTATGTGCGTATTTTAACCCAAATATGAGTGAAGGATGAGTGTAGGATGAGTGGCGCGATCTTGTAGTCTTGTTAGTGACTAAGGCCGACATGTTCCTTAGACACAGCTGTTAATTAATAGCCCATACAGCTAATGGCAACTAAGGGACCTACAGTTTATAGTGGAATCCGAACCACATTTTTCCTTGTAATTTACGAATTGGTCTAATTATCAGGATAATACTGCGGATAGTCGTAGTACTCACTAGTGCGGACGTTAATCCACACCAGGGAGCATCGCATCCACAGTGCATCCCTATAAATATCCACAATTCGTGACCTCCCAGTAGCTGGATTACAGGACGACGCCACCCGTGTATGGAATGGTTACGATTAGTTCATTTGATATAAAGTTGTATGAGCACAATAAATTAACTATATTTGAAGATCTGAGTAATGTTATACAAATGTAAAACTTTGGATCACTAAGCGTTGGAGAATCTTTGAAAAAAACTTCAATGTTATCCGACTTGTTGGTTTCAGTACCACAAGATGAAAAACTCTATAAGGCAGACATTATTGAAAAGTTAGTGGCATTTATTCACATATTAAATATAAACAGTTACGACGATGCTAAGGTGGGTATTTCAACGTTGCATATTATCCTTATGTCTGCAAGAGAGTCCCTGAGCCTTGAAGGGACGTTGTACACAACTTGTACTCTACACACATTGACCAAGCTTTTCACTGCTGGACTGAATCGTGGAAAACTTTGCACATTTAAAGTACTTTACCAGATTTACAGTAGGATTTTGGATTGCTTCAATATAGTGTTAGAATTTCAAGATAAATATGAAGGCAATGATCTGTTGAACATGAGATATCGTGAACCGGTGGTTTTCTCCCGACTGAAGGAAATATCAACGTTAGTAACAAACAGTTTGTTTCTTCTTCAGTCAGCTCTTGCTTACAGACAATTACCAGCACAGAAACATAGTTTGATTGAATCCAAGGTGGGAAACCTCTCTATGTGGATCAAAGTAGACTTTCCATCAGCACTCAGTAACTTCACTTTGGCAGAATATAGTAATAACTTGTTTCCTGTGTTTATTTCAGGAGATCTTGCACGTTATGTACAACAAAAAGACTTCTATTTATCCCTTCAATTTGTAAATTTCAAAGTGAATCCTACTTGTGTGACTAAAACAAATACGGAAAACATTCTTGATGTAAACATATGTTTCAAAGCAAGCAATTATCATACTTGTGTTTATCCCAAGGTTTTAAAGTTTGGAATTAAAGTTTCATTTGTTATATCCGATCTTATAAAAAAAATGGATTTCAAGCAATTGAATACTTCAACGAAAAGTCTTTTAGCATACCTCTCGGATCCTACTTCACTCAACCTTGAACTTCCTGTGTACAAGATAGATCCGCTACCAGTAGCACAGGTTGATGTTCAATTTAAGTTTTATGAGGATGACATAGAGTTGTTAGTTCTAGCAATGAGAGATATGAGACCAACTTTTGAATCACTAATGAGAGAAGGCCAAAAAGTTACACCAGATAATCCG